TCAACTGAAGTTGACACTGGTGTTTAAAATTTCTTTCAACAGATTAGCATAAGGCCAAAATTAGCCCTAACCGGACCTTCTCCTTTTTGAGGTAGATAATATAAAATTTAATGTGGTATGATTGCATATTAGACCGTCAGTATCCACCAATTCCAATAAGAGCAACTATATATAGTCCATCATAAAGCCGTCAAAAATGAGGAAATCCCATACCCTATAGTAATCTATAAAAGGCCCCATCATGATAAAATTTGGAACAATTTAAACTAGAAATTCAACAGCCTGACAATAAAAGAAAAACAAATATGGCAAATAGCAACCAGCAACCACTATATTACTATTTCCAGACTAATGACTGTCACATAAAGAAAGGTTTGAGTGCTCTTCCTATCCCTAACAGGGACAGTGGTGTAACAGCATAACATAATCAATTTTAAACAATCAAGAGGTCTTACTGTAGATTTTTAGTCAACTGCAATAAGTGGAGAGCTACACTTACAGTCAAGTCACAGTAAAATATTTAAAAATAAATGGGGAATGTGTCCATGTGACACAGATGATGCCCCTGCCTGCATATAACATTATAAAGGGACATAACTCAAGAACTGTAAAAGTGATGGCATGATCTGATGCTACCCAAATTTGTACTTGATCTGAGTTTTGTGGTAATAAGCATTGTGTATATGTTTCATAACATTTAGTTGAGGCAAACTTAAGTTAGAGAACAGAAACGAAAAATGAATCAATTTTTCCATTTGTAAAGGGGCATAACTCTAGAACTGTATAAGTGATGCCACCAAAATTCAAACTTGATCTGTGTTTTGTGGTAATCAGCATTGTGTATAAGTTTCATAACATTTGGTTGAGGCAAACAAAAGTTAGAGAATAGAAACGAAAAATTCAGCAATTTTTCCATTTGTAAAGAGGCATAACTCTAGAATGGTAAAAGTGATGCTACCAAAATTCAAACTTGATCTGCGTTTTGTGGTAATAAGCATTGTGTATAAGTTTATAAGTAACAGAAACCAATTTTGGGACGTACAGACGTACAAGGGTAAAACTTAATGCCCCCTCCGCTACAGCAGGGGCATAAAAATGGAGAATGTGTCTATGGGCAACAGATGCCCCCGCTTGTAAATATGCCTGAGTCAACTTCCACATACAGATGCAGGATTCAAATAATTAAGACCATTTTCTGATTATTAGTATTGTGTATAAGTTTCATAACATTTGGTTGAGGCAAACTGAAGTTATAGAACGGTAACGACAGATTTTGCAATTTTTCCAATTATAAAGGGGCATAATTCAAGAACGGGAAAAGTGACGCCAACCAATTTCAAACTTGATCTATGTTTTGGTGGAAAAAAAAGCATTTTGTATAACTTTCATAACATTTGGTTGAGGCAAACTAAAAATAGAGAATGGAAACAAAAATTCAGCAAATTTTATGTTTATAAAGGAGCATAACTCATGAACGGTAAAAGTGACACCACCCAATTTCGAACTTGATCTGTGCTTTGTGGTACAAATGTTATAAGTATTGTGTATAAGTTTTATAACATTTGGTTGAGGCAAACTAAAGTTACAGAACAGAAACCAATTTTGGGGACGTACGCGACAACAGATGGATGAACGAGACAGACAATGGTAACACAGAATGCCCCCTTAGCTATGGAGGGGGCATAAAAATAGACATATCATGTGTGCAAGCTTCTTTCATTTGGGTTGATTTGAAAAATACTATTTTTTAAGGAAGTACTAAAATGTGTGCAAAATAAAACCTTGCTAATAGGAAGAAAATAAATAATCTTAATCATTTCAAGAATTCTTAATTTACGCAAGTCTAGAGTTATGAAAATTTGTGTAAAAGTGAAACCTTGAGTCCCATCCTTACCCTTCATCTTGTTCATAAAGGAAACAAGATGGACTCTTTTTGGAGTGTCCATTTTACAAGGTGAAAAAGCAAACTTAAAAAGAAACTTACCAAATGCATATTCTATTTAATTCAGTGAATTAGTGATGTCTATTATCAGGCAGGGATGTTTTTTTTGTGTCTTGTATAGATGTTAAATAAAAGCATCCTTCAAATAAAAAATAAATGGAGAATCCATGGGACACAGATGATGCCCCCTCTTGCATATAATGTTATAAAGGGACATAACTAGAGAACTGTTAAAGTGACTCTACTTGATCTGAGTTTCGTGGTAATAAGTGTTGTGTATAAATTTCATAATATTTGGTCGAGGCAAACTAAAATTAGAGAATGAAAACGAAAATTTCATAATTTTTTTTATTTGTAAAGGGCTTGATCTGTGTTTTGTGGTAATAAGTATTGCATATGTTTCATATAATTTGGTTGAGGCAAACTAAAGTTAGAAAACAGAATCAAATTTTGGGACATATGTACGTACAGACAAGACAATGGGGTGTTGAGGCAGGTGCATAAAAACAGTAAAACAGGTAAAAACATGGTTTTCCACAATTGTATTACAATTGCATGAAGACGTATTGAAGCTAAAATTTACTCTATAATTAAAGTAAGAATTTCAAAGGGTCATCAAGTAGGGGCAACAGTACAGAAATCTGTAAAAAAAAATTGCTTGAAACATACTGTAAAAAATCAAGAAATTATTGTGAGGTTTTTTAATGGCGAATAATGTGACTAAATAAGAATCACGATAATAAGAACTTGCATACTGATATCATATATATTAATATGCAGATTTTTTTTAAATCGAATAATTAATATCAAATTTTTGTCTATCCTTCAAAAATCGCAATAATAAATGCACACAATAATTTCTGATTTTACAGTAAAATTTTTTTACCATGTCCTGTATTTTATCTATCAACTGAAAAAAAATAAATGGGGAATGTTTCCATGGGACACAGATGATGCCCCCGCTTGCAAATAACATTATAAAGGGATATTACTCAAGAACTGTAAAAGTGACGCTACCCAAATTTGTACTTGATCTGAGTTTTGTGGTAATAAGCATTGTTTATAAGTTTCATAACAATTAATTGGGGCAAACTTAAGTTAGAGAATGGAAACAAAAAATTCAGCAATTTTTCCATTTGTAAAGGGGCATAACTCTAGAACAGTAAAAGTGACACAACCAAAATTCTAACTTGATCTGTGTTTTGTTGTTATAAGCATTGTGTATAAGTTTCATAACATTTGGTTGAGGGAAACTAAAGTTTCAAGCGGGATGTATAAAGACACACCCACGTTCGTTTAGATCTATAAAGAGGTTAAACTCCTAACTATCCTACTGTCTGTCCATACATTTATTTTTGGCATTGCACTAGTCATGTCTTCTTTGACTGTCCATTACGTTAAAATACTAAATCCCTCGGATGTGTTTTAGTTGATTTTAGTGTCTGATGCATGATTTTTTTATTATTGTTTTGGCTTTTAACTAGCTGTCAGTAACTGGGAGTACTCTCAAATCGTACTTTCTTGTTTATTTGACCTGCTGATACTAATTGTATTGCTTTTTTTGTTATTTAATGTTATTCAGGGTTATATCTGGTCTATATACCAGCTTTGATAAGTGTTTGGTATAACTATAAATTTTCACTTCGTACTATGAACTTCAAAATTATTTATTTTGTAAAAATATTTCCTTTCTCTATTGGTACTGTACACGTATACCTAACAACAAAATTATTTTCATTTACCTGTGTTTAAAGTTATTGCAAATGGCTGATATTTTTGTTCGAGCATATTGTTTTTCTTTAATTGTTTAACATTTCTTACCAATATAACATGTTACTTTTATTATTCTTCCCTTAGTTTATTTATTTTGTATTTACATTGTGTCATAGGTCAAATTTATTTGTTCAGTGTATGTTCAATGGTGTTAATATGACCTTTGATTGAGTTAAGCTATTTCAGTTGATATTTTATAGTGTGTCTTTCTATGTTGTGATGTTACACTATTGTTTCAGAAAAAGGGTGAAGGTTTGGTACCATTAAAATGTTTAAACCCGCTGCATTTGTTTGCACCTGTCCTAAGTCAGGAATCTGATGTTCAGTAGTTGTCGTTTGTTGATGTGGTTCATAAGTGTTTCTCGTTTCTAGTTTTTTTATATAGATTAGAAAGTTGGTCTTCCCGTTTGAATGGTTTTACACTAGTAATTTTTTGGGGCCCTTTATAGCTTACTGTTCGATGTGAGCCAAGGCTCCATGTTGAAGACCATACTGTGACCTATAATGGTTTACTTTTATAAATTTTGACTTGGATGGAGAGTTGTCTCATTGGCACTCATACCACATCTTCTTAAATCTAATTAGAGAACGGAAACGACAAATTCAGTAATTTTTCCATTTATAAAGGGGCATTACTCTAGAACGGTAAAAGTGACACCACAAAAATTCAAACTTGATCTGTATTTTGTTGTAATAAGCATTGTGTATAAGTTTCATGACATTTGGTTGAGGCAAACTAAAGTCAGAGAACGGAAACCAATTTTGGGACATACGGACGTACAGAGGGACAAGGGTAAAACTTAATGCCCCCTCCGCTACGGCGCACATAGAACTGGAATTTAATGACTATAAGTAAAATTGGTATGTACTTTCCTGTAAAGTGTCAAGAGTACAATAAAATTGAGAATGGAAATGGGGAATGTGTCCCATATATAATACAGAGTATCAACTTTACTGGATCTTTGGTTATATCTTCTAAGGTTTAGTATTTGTTGTTATATTTACTTATCTGTACAGTATTGACTGTTACTCATGGTTGAAGGCTGTACACTGACACCTAGATATGGTCATCTCTATTCTATTTTATCTTTGTTAAATTGCTGTACCATAGCAGCTGTACCATGATACCTTTTGATATTTTTTGACATTTTGCCCTGTTTGTGTATAAAGTTTGGATGGTTGTACTAAAGTGTGTGAAGTTTTTTTCCCTTACATTTCTTTTTTTTTGTCCTAAGCATATTGAAGTTGAGTATAAATAAAAATAAATATAAGAGAAAAGTATCCATTAAAATTTGATGAATTTATTATTTACAATTGACCATTCATTATTTACAGCTTTCATACAATACTATAACAAACACACCTTGAAGTATCATAACCCAAAGGCACACCAACTAGGGACTGATCATTTTTACTTTGATTTTTCATTAGCAAATAAGACTTTGTTACACAATTAATGATAATTCATATCAAGAAACTGAAATTGCCAAACACTTCTTTTATTTTTAGAGACCTCCATTATATATAGAGAGAACTGTCCTGTTTTCTATCAAAACTTAAATTGTAAACGCTATTGAAAGCAAATTTAAGTGCCACTCACATAGATTATATTTCTTGGAGGTTTGTTATAATAAGTGATGATAATAAATATATGTATATGAACATTCACAAATAATGTTGTATGATAAACATTTTAAACAGTGGTGGATCCCCCCCCCCTTTTTTTGGACAATCAATGCATTTGAATGGGACATATAGTTGGAACCCCCCCCCCTTTTAAAAATGGCTGGATCCGCCCCTGTTAAAGGTACTGAAATGTTTTGGCTATGTAATAACATATGTTAACCATTCATACCTCAGTACCATTTAATTGTTAACATTAAATAAATGATAAACTAATGTTAGATAAACAAAAGATAAGTTATTTCCTTTCCTTTTCAATTGTTTAAAATATGGCCTGCCTTTGCAGCTGTCAGTGGTAAAGTGTTATTTTGACTACAAAAAACTAAGTCCATTTATTAGTAAAATACAGAAATAAATATGAAAAATTTAAAATTTTGTTGAAGGTTTTATCATGAAGAAGCTGCTGTCAGAGTTTCATAAAATTCAATGAAGTTGTGACAAAGTAATTGTCTTTAACCCCAGACTGTATATTGTCTTTAACCCCAGACTGTATATTGTCTTTAACACCAGACTGTATATTGTCTTTAACACCAGACTGTATCTTAATGTTAACTGCCATTTTTTTTTTCATGACAATGAAAAATCATTTAAATCAACATTGTTTGAATTTTCCTTGATGACAATTCTTAGATCTTGCAAACTTGATACAAATATGAATGCTCAAATACACTAACTGGTTCTGTTTTAAATTCATATGAACCAATAAAACTTGTAACGTTTAAATAAAATGAAACTTGATGAAATGCATGATAATTACAAAACAGTATAAGATTTAAACCTGAGAACTCAACTGGAACTGTTAATGAGTGATAATTGAAGCACAGATGTGATATACATGTATTAAATGACCATACAACATCTTTACAAGATTTAATGATGAGACAATTTTGGATCTAACGAAGATATAAAACAATCTGACTGAAGCATTCACCGAGCTGAAAGGAATTCAAGTATGCTGCAGAAAGCACAGAAATGTGCAGACAAGTTCATTGTAAATTTTGAACAAAAGTTTTACATCTAAACATTAAGACAATTTGGATATTAAATGAAAATGAATTGAGCACTTTTTAAATCACAATTCACTCAATTACACATTAATATTTGTAAGGAAGAGTTGGTAACATTGATCAATTTGTGTGTTTTACTCAGACAAAACATATGGACAGTTATCTTTGATTTAGATTAACAATAGCAATACAATTGTTGTATCGTTCTTAAGTCAGTTATAAACAGAACATAATATATATCATTCTTATTGTAAACAATGAAGATTCTTAAGTCACATCTTACTATCCTACAGCATTATATATCTCAAGATAGTATAGAGAATATTATTTTACCATGACAACACCAATATAACAACATTTCACATTTCAAGTTAGCTCGGGGAATAATATTTATTATTACCATCTGATATACTGAAATTAACCAAACCAACTTTGCACATTTCAATTTTGCTATCAGATAAGGGTTTACTTTTACAACTGACATTTTCCCAAATAGACAGTTGTAGTTAACAGTCTCAATGTCAAGGAAATTAACTGAACTTAAAATTGACAACAAAATGCCTAAACATTGAGGAACTGTTGCATAAAGTGTTTTACACTTAATACAATAGTAAACGTTTTATTTTTATCTGTACCTTTAAGTAGTGTATCTGCACATATTTAAAATAACTGACCATATTCTTGCACGCAAATCATTAAAATTTGATAAATATCAACCAATAACATATTCACATATTAATAAAATATTCAATACATCACACTGTAAAAATATGTGATCCACACACTTTTCATCCATAAAAAACCCTTTCAAACATGTACACAAGGTGGGGTTTAATTTCTTTAAAAAAAAAAAGTTTCAGACTATGTATGGTTAAATCAAAAAAGCATTTATTTCGAAATTCTCTCCCATTCAAATTGAAAAATAACAAAAAGTCCCAAATTCTCCTTAAAATGTTTTTTTATTTCTTTTAAATCTGTCATTTATCATGTCTCTTTTAAATTTCCAACAGATAAATACTGAGTTTATGCCTACTTAGAAGAAGCAGATCTTTGAATATTAAAACACCTAGATGTTATAACATTCAATCTAAAACCAAGATACTTGTATATTATATTGTGCATATTTCATGGAAGGTGAATGTAACACATATCTTCATTTCTATATAAGTAAGCCTAATTTCAACAGATTCATAAATATTTAATGTTCAAACAGATATCAAGTCAGAAATTTAAGTATGAAAATTTGTATTTGAATTGCAAAAGAAATTGATGAATACTGTAAATTCAAAATTATTGCGATGTTTTTATTATTGCGAAAAATGCGACAGGATTACAATCGCAATAATTTAAACTTGCATTTTGAATTTTTTTATATGAATTAAACAGGATTGTTCTCAATATCGCAAAAATAAAAATCGCATTTTAGTCTAAAATGACAAAATCGCAATAATAATTGAACGCAATAATTTCTGAATTTACAGTAAAAACAAACACATTGTATGTACGAATGTTATGGAAATTATTTTTCACAAATCACATCCTGGTGGTTTATTAGAGACTCATGTTCAGTAAATACATACAATTAATGTATACATTTTTCATGCATGCTCAACCTACTTATCATTTATTTTAACTGTTGGAACTCTTTTAAAAACAAGGACCTACATAAAATACATTAGATCTATAAAAGATTTTGATCAATCATTAACATTTATACAACCACATTAACACACACACATGTAAATCATGTAGATGTTGACACATTTATATCACATTTCGCATAAAAATTGGCACCATCTTCCTCCAACAATTTGATTACAGCACTATCATTTTCGATTATGTCGAGACGAGCCTGTCCTTACAGGTATATCACCATCTTTTGAAGCACTTCCTCTTCTCATTGCTGAATTGACACCAGATAAACCAGCCTGCATTGGAGCTGTAGAAATTCGTGTGGCATCACGTTGCAGCACTTCAGCACCTGTAGGTATCCCTCTGTGAAGACGTGTGCTGGTTCTTCTTTCCCTTTCTCTAGAGTATGGTCTAGGGGATTCATCTGCCAATAATGTAACCAAATAATTATAATTAAGAACACTTGATTATTTTCGTTAATAATTGACTTGACTGTAGATTACTAATTATTTTTAAACCAAACGATGATCCATTTAAAACATTGAAATATCAATACAATAATATTCATTTCTATTGGTTTGTACCCTCATCAATGACAATAGAACCTTTCTTTACCATTCCAGAATTGTTGGATTTGGCATGTATAAATCTAATACCTTCTCTCTCAAATAAACTTACCTGTGCTGTTTGGAGTCAGGAATATAGGAGACAGTATTTATTCTGTTTATTTGTATTTATTAGTGGTAGTTTTTCCCCAACTACTGTGGATTCATTTATTTTCATTGGTACCAATTTTCGTGGATTGAGCAATAATTGCTTTTTCATGGATATATGAATTCGTAGTTTTGCCAAAGTGTGCTCACAAACCTATAGAAAATTTGCAATATTTTGAATTCAAATTCATGGTTTACTGATACCCACAACATTAGTACTCCAAGAATAATGATGACTCCATAGTACATGTTTTTCTTTTGTGTTTTAATTAAAAGATTATGTTTGTTGTGACTATGTCTCACAGAAGAGATACATATCTAGCATTGTCCAACCTTAAGAAACATGTATTTCCTCTTGAAAATGATTGTACAAAGTTCAAATTATATTAAATAGCCATCCATAATCAATATTATGATAAAGTCTCCATGAGTTGAATAAACCACTTTCCTTTAGAAATCCTTCAAGTACAATTTTGTTTCACTGATAACTGTGTACTTTTCATTGCCAACAATTTTGATACTTTTAGACTTTATTTGATATATAATTAATTTTTTTTTCTGTCTAAGTATAATATGGCATGATATCTACAAATACAATGTATGACTTGTGAAATTTCCTATCATAATGATTGTGTACAAGATAATGAGACCAAACCTTCATGGTTAATTTCTTTAAACCCAAAACTTATACCTGGTATGGGATAGACAAACACACATACAGGATAACATAAATGGGGAATGTGTTCATGAGACACAGATGATGCCCCCGCTTGCATATCATATAAAGTTATAAAGGGACATAACTGAAGAACGGTAAAAGTGACGCTACTCAAATATGTACTTGATCTGAGTTCTGTAGGAATAAGTACTGTGTATGAGTTTCATAAAATTTGGTTGAGGCAAACTTAAGTTAGAGAACAGAAACGAAAAATTCAGCAATTTTTCCATTTGTAAAGGGGCATAACTCTAGATCAATTAAAGTGACACCCCCAAAATTCAAACTTGATCTGTATTTTGTGGTAATAGGCATTGTGTATAAGTTTCATAACATTTGGTTGAGGCTAACTTATGTTAGAGAACGGAAACGAAAAATTCAGCAATTTTTCCATTTGTACAGGGGCATAACTTGAGAATGGTAAAAGTGACACCACCAAAATTCAAACTCGATCTGTATTTTGTGGTATTAAGCATTGTGTACAGGTTTCATAGCATTTGGTTGAGGCAAACTAAAGTTAGAGAATGGAAACAAAAAATTCAGCAATTTTTCCATTTGTAAAGGGCATAACTCTAGAACAGTTAAAGTGACCCCATCAAAATTCACCCATAAGCATTGTGTATAAGTTTCACAAAATTTGGTTGAGGCAAACTAAATTTAGAGAACGGAAACCAACTTTGGGACGTAGGTACGGACAGACAGATGGACAGACATACAGACGGACAAGGGTAAAAATTAATGCCCCCTCCGCTACTACGGGGGCATAATTATGCCCTCTACTTATGTAGACAGGGTATCACAAACAATTAAAATAAACTGTTATCACAGAGATATGTCTCGCCTTTTTGTAATTTTGATAATGCAAATGTTGAAATTAAAATAGCAATACTTTAACATGTAAGTTATGCAAATATTCAAAGTCGATGAACCATGACTGAAGGTACATGGCTAAACAATCTCCATGGAATGAGATGTGCCAATGCTAATACAACTGCATACCAAATACCATTGACTTATTATAAGTCGTTCCCTTTAAACAAACCTAAACACAAACATTAACTTGTAAACTATGTAAAAGTTTCAAAGTCAATGAACCATGATCAGGGGTGGGGCTATATAATCTCCATGGAAACGATACTTGCATATGCCAATAAATTTGCATATCAAATATCACTGACTTAACATTAGCAGTTCATCTTAAATTGATCTAATAACAAACTATTAAATGTAAACTAAGCAAAAGTTTCAAAGTAAATAGACCATGACTGAGGGGGCGGGGCCAAATATTCTCCATGGAAATGAGATGTGCTAATGCTTATACAACTGAACACTAATTAACATTCATGATTGGCCTACCACTAATGGTTCCCCTTGAACTGACCTAATCACAAACTAATACATGTTAACTTAGCAAAATTTTCAAAGTCTATAGACCATGACTACTGGGGCGGAGCCAAATAATCTCCATGGAAATGAGATATGCCAATGCTTATACAACTGCATACCAAACATCATTGACCTACCACTAGTGGTTCCCCATAAATTGACCTTATCACAAACTAATACATGTAAACTATGAAAAGTTTCAAAGTCAATAGACCTTGACTGAGGGGGCGGGGCCAAATAATCTCCATGGTAATGAGATGTGCCAATGCTAATACAACTGCATACCAAATATCATTGACCTACCACTAGTGGTTCACCATGAACTAGACCTAATCACAAACTAATACATTGTTGACGCCGCCGCCGCCGGAAAACAGCATACCTATGTCTCCGTCAAGGCGAGACAAAAATCAATGAAGCAAAATGATAACTCCAGAATGTTTTTATTTTACTAAATGATAACCTTGTAATCAACCAGATTTACTCATTATACACCATACAGTACCAGAACAATATTGAAAGAAGTTTAACTAAGTTGAAATACTCATTAAAGAGCACTTGTATGTTTAAATGATCCTTAATCTCATTGTTCACTTAGTGAACTTGATGTGACAGTTGAACATTGGCTTGGATGCTCAGACTGTTTCTTAAACAATTGAGAATGATGTATACTGCACATTTAAATATATGGAAATATAAATTTCAAATAATGGGAGATCTTAAAACAACTGCATAATGGAAGGTGCACAACCTCAATAGGTTTGCAAACTTTGTGTGAAGATCCAAAGATTAAGGTTAAAAATAAAAACATCTATTGAAACTATTTGTTTTAGAAAATACCCCAAATCTGGGGAAAAAATCCATAATAGCAGATGCACAACTGCAATTCCAAGTGCAATCATTCTATGAAGTTTCAAAGATCTGGGTTGAAAATTGTAGGATTACACAAAAATGGTACGGTACTATCTTCTGTAAATGTTCATCATTTCCAAAATTCACAAAAGCGGGGATTCCTCAAACAATTCCATAATAACAGGTGCACAACTTTAACATGTATGCAATCTTTCTGTGAAGTTTCAGGGATCTTGATTGAAAAATGTAGGGGATAAATTACTCAAATTAGGTTCTAATTTTCTCGCCCAGACAACCACCACCACTATACCATGTCCAACCTGGCCGAAAATGCCAGGAGTTACAGTTATGAATTGTGTAAAAACATCTTTCATCAATAAACAGGTTTTACTTGCTTATTCAAATATAATCAACAGGACATGATTACAATTCTGGAATACTTGATGTTGCTTTCACTATGCTCTTGTAAGTATTTTCATTGTTTCCTTACACGGCTACAAATCAAATATATGTATCTTACTTGGTCCCCTTAAAATCATCTAAGTTTAGACTTCAATAACTTATAAACAATCTAAAACTTAATTTCTTTAATAATAACTGACTAGCAAATAATCATCAGAATAAAATATTGCACTGAATTAAATAACACTAATATTCACCAAGCTTTCTCACTTAGCACACAACTTTCATCCTGTTACACTCATCACTCATTCATTTTAGCAATAAGAATTTTCTTCTGAACATTATCAAACAAAACGACTAACTTCTCCATATTTGATATTATGTTAGCTTACAATGACTTAGGAATAACTCCATGTATGAATGATTTAACATATTTACCACTGCTCACAATGGAATGAACAATGAATTTTACATAATTATATTTTCACTTACCATTCATTCATATTTATGATTGAAAAGCACAAAACAAAATAAGCCTCACAAAAAACTGTTACTAAGCAAAGAAACAATTTGAAACAAATTATTTACAGAAGCATGGAAACTCTATCCTTTTGCAATGAAATATTGATTTAAAACCAGCACACTTTTCACTTCATAAACACATTTAAATTTTATCACTTCAGAAACATTATCAAACTGCCATCTACGTTCCTGATTGAAACTACTCAAATAAACTTAATCATGAGTTAATGAAAGACTCTTTTGAGCTACAAATTTAACTGAACACATGGCAAACTATATAACTTGACCATTTTCACTCAGAAAAACTACATTATTCAACTTAATTTGCTCGCAAATATGATGTTATTAATAAATATAAGATGAACCTAAAGCCTAATTTCTTTAACTGCAAAATTTACATAAATTTAATTTTGGATGTTTCATTGTGATATGAAAGTGACTGAATTTACAGATATATGAAAATTATTCATGAAGGTTCCATGATATCTATGTCTCACCTGCTCTTGCTGTTGTCAGTATTATTTAGAATTTTTATAAGTCCAATTTTCACAAAAATACACTCAGTTGGAAATAATCTTTGGTAAATTTTACATTGAACACAATTATCATGATTTTTTTTTTACAAAATATATGACTAATTTGAGTTTGTAGAAAAAGACTAAAAATATAAGGGTACATGTAAACATTATCAATGACCACAATTATGATTTCTGTCTCAACTTTGCAACTTCTAAGCAGGCAAGACAAAAATTTTTTGACTTCCTTCATATGAACCCGTCCTTATGACTACACTAATTTACAACAGAAATCTATCTTTCCGTTATTACTTTAAAATGTCTGTTACAATGATAATAATCTCATGATGGTTTTTGTTTTAACTGCTGTGGTCTATTTGAGTCCTGAATGATCCGCCTTAACTTAGCACTGTCATTTCCCACCGGAATTGGCAATCCTGAAGCCTTAAAGCTTATCCTTCCACCAGAAGATGGAGTGGCAAGTCTAGTTTCACCATCAGTAGCCTCAGCTCGACTTGTTGACAAAGACAACCTTGTAGGCATTCTGTCCCTTGTCCTAGGTGGCGCTGAACCTCGGACATCTAAGATAGAGGAAAAGATAGAACTAGTCCTGACTTGTCAACCCAGAATTTGAAAGAGACAGGATGATACATGCATAAACCAAAAAGCCATAACGAAAAATACATGCAGGAAAATGATAAAACTAAACAAAATTAAGACATGCAAATGATACCAAAAAATGTCCAAACTCCAAAATAAACGAAGCCATGCTCAGACCAAAATCTATCTGACCAACTCCAGTGGGAAATGTTCTACTCTACACCACAATTGTAAACATGCAGAAGAAATTACCATAAAACTCAAAATAATTTTTTTTACAGCTAACACTACTCAAATAACTTTTATATCAAAACTTTTGTCTGGTAATTTTTGGAAAACTCATTGATCATGTTAATAATACAATGTAATTGCTTCTGAATATTTTGAGCTGTTCAACTTAGTTTCAAACCTTTGTAATAATTCAATATTTTTCACATAAATTGTGTGTTTAAATATGTTGATAGTCTATAAAGCCAACATATGTCATGGTCAGTAATATTTATTAAATTCATGTATAAATATTTCACTTGTTCAAGCATTCTGATCCATCACTTATTTTACCAACTTCTTGAAAAGTTATCATCATTCAAGAATTGCATCCTGAAAATATGTTATCCCTCATGGTTACATATGCAGCAAGAGTTTAAACAGATTGCTACTACTCATTACAACTTCTATACAAGATAGATCAAATGTTCATTAGACATTCATCACACCTGTTTGCAACAGAGTTAAAATTAACAGCTGCACAATTGTGCATGATAGGCTTGTCTCCCTTACTTCAACCATTAAGGTCTACAAACTTTGAACAATTAATCTGAAAATGGTCAAAAATTAAATGACTGGAAGCTATCATTGTTTGATATATTACTATAAATTTCATGGGTTTAATTGACAGAAAACTGGACTTTTTGCAAGACATACATTCTGCTGGACAGTGAAGAATAACCTCTGTGGAAGCGGAGGTGATCATAACACCACTACAAACCATTATTGACATACCATTGGTGGTTCCTCTTAAAGTAACCTAATCACAAACTAACATGTAAACTGCAAAAGTTTCAAATTCAACAGTGCATGATCGAGGAGGTGAAGCAAAAAAATCTTCAAATTAACTTCCTATATGTACCAACTATCATTAATTTACCATTATGATTAGGGGTTTTCTTAAGTGACCTTATCACAAATTTTAACAGCTGTTGAAGCCTTGCCTTCTCAACTTTGTGTAGGTGAGACTAAAATCTTAAATAGCACAGGAAGACAGACTATCTGTAATGACATAACAAAGTTTCCTTTAATTTAAGATTTTTGCATTAAAGAAACAACTTGAATGTCAATTTTGCACATCATCAAAATTAAATGTAAGCTGGTATTTGAGGACTTAAATAATGTGCAAAAAAGATTTCCCCAAAAAAGTTTAACAACAAGCATTCTTAAGAGTATTGCACGCCAATACATAGTCCCCTACTGTTAAAAGATTAATTGTACTGGAACAAAATGCTAACTTGATCTACAACTTGTCATGGTGTAAACTATATAACAAATATCAAGTCAATATCTTCAAGCATGACGAAAAAAAGTGGGAAAACTGATTATTTAAGTGAATTTTTTTCAAGTCCAAGGAACGTAACTCTGCACAAAAACATCAGACCAGAACAAAATTAGAACTTGATCTGTAACTTGTCATTATAAACAATATACCAAATATCAAATCAATATCTTCAAGCATGAAGAAAAAAAGTGTGGAAAACTGATTTGCCAGACTGACGGATGGACAGACAGATGGGCGGAGTGCTAACCTAAAGTCCCCTTCGACTTCGTCAGTAGGGGACTAAAAACTTGAGTTATTATGATGCACTCTTATTGTTGAACCTCAACCTTTACAGTGTAAAAATTTCTGAAACATCCCTCAACAAAAACTTGATTTATCACAAGAAGTGCTACATATATATTGCAAGTTACTAACATAATTGAATGTTGAACCAAGTCCTCATATAATTGCATCAAAAACATTGGAAGTTGCCTTTGTAGAAAAGCATTGGGTATAAATTACGTAAAGATCCATTACAGCAAAATCAAGTTATAATGAGACATGTTCCAAATTATTCAATGTTCATCAATTTTTGTGTCAAGACTAACCTTATTTTATAATTGTTTTATACATTCTACACAAAAGTTTAAATTTAGCACGGAAATAGATTCAAGTGTCATTTTAGAGGAAGAGATGTGTTCCCTAATATAATCAGAAATGTCCAAATCCATATTTTGGTATAGGAAACCTCAACAATCACTTGGATCAAAAATTAATACAGCAGGTGCACAACTTTGTATTCTGTAAAAAGAACCTGTACAAGTTTGGCGGAATTCTGTGCAGTTTTTTTTTTATGGAGTTTCAGATAAACGCTGACAACGATGCAAAACAACAGAAGTGATCTCTTTGTCACTACAGCTTTGCTGTCAAGAGTACACAGTAACCACTTTATATCAATAAACCAAAATTCTGTTTATGACAACCCCTTCATGGTAGTGTATCATTTTAAATTGTCTCATTACAGCTTTAATAGAAAATGAGAGAACTAGAAGAACCATTTTCCAGATTGTATATTAACATGCATGTATGTATTATGATGAAAGAGGGGTATTATAGCCATAAACATTAGTTACAAAGGAATGTATGAATGAATGAGAGAAGTTACATGATAAACCTACTTTACTGATGAAATTAATTTAATTTAGAACGTATCACATGCTACTTTCATTCCAGACCAAGATTTACAATCAAAACAATCGTATTTTAACTGTAATTTACTCAAATTATTTTAATAATGTATCACAATTATAGCACGTGTCTACAACTAAATAGAAAAATCTGAAGTGTCATTTAATGTTGACAAGTGTACTTCCTTTTAAATTGTGGTGTCTGGTGTAACATCATAATTTTCAGATTGTATAGTGTTTTTATTCATTAGTTTATTGCTTTGAGGCAGTATTCAAGTTGTCAGTGATGTTGCTTAATATACAATATGCTTGTTACACACTTCTCTATAAAATAACCTTCACAAAATCATCAGCTGCAGAAGTTTTTATTTAATTAATCCATAGCCTACTTGTCTCATAAATCTTTTATATATTTTGCTGAAACTATCCTATTTATCAAACAAATTTTGCAAATACATGTGTGACTTACTGTGAAACTATAGACTTTGGACTGGCTTTTAAACAAATATGCTTTTAAGTGGGTTATAATACCAAGTTAATTGGATGGATCAACAACTCATTTTACACAATAGAGTTCAGTTGAAATGACAAACTTCTCTTTAAACAAAACCAAGTCAAAGTAAGAGTTTATCATCAAACTTTGTATACTTAAAATTTCAAATAGAGTGATATTTGTCTTTACAGTTAACAAAACATGAAACTAGTACCCCCCCTCCCAACCATATAAGACACAAAAATCCAGACAAACTGGATGCAAAGTAGAGAAAAACTTCTTTTGTCTTAAAGATAAAAGTATTCTTTCTCCACTTACTGTTGTAATCACCTGGAGGTGTGGCTGCTGTGACTGGCATTTGATCATTTTTCATTCGACTACCACCAGCTGTGCCATGCACTGGACGGGCAGAGGATCCAATTTTACCCCTGTCTGAATCATCATTATTACGTCCACCCTGTAAATAGTGTAAATTAAGTATTAATTTTTTGTAACATCCTCAAAATTTCCTGCTTAACAACATTGTTTTTGTCTTCATTAAAGTTTCATGTTGGCCTAATATTTTTTGTTAGGGTTGTTCTGTTTTGCCTAGCAATTCTAAAATAGGATTGACACATATAAAACAAGCAAATATTGGTTCCATAGAAGAACACCTTCCATTAAAGATGACTGTACAAGAGCCAAGTGTTCCATTTGTTGGTAAGCTAGTTTTTCTCAAAATGTTGCATTTGCTGCAAGATTTTTAAAATTACCTGTTTATAATGTCCCTTTTTTATAGCTATTCATGCATTATTGGACCCATAAGCCAAACTGAACACAATCCTATTTTCAAATATTTACTTACAAATTTCAACATGTTCCAATCAAAAACATAATCGTAGGTAAATCCTTGGCGATGGAACAAATTCCTGAACAGCTGTCGTAGATAAGAATAATCTGGTTTGTCATCAAACCGTAGAGATCGACAAAAATTCAGGTAGGTGGCAAACTCAGCTGAAATAAAATTTGTTCAATTCTGAAGTGAGTATTTCACATAGCGTTAATAATTTATATGAATGAAATTTCAAAACCAATCACACTTTCATCCATTTTAATAAAAGTGTTCCAAAAAAATGTTTGTTTGTTCTTATTTTCGAAATTGTCTGAGACTGAATTTATTAAAAATCGGGCAAAAATTGTACATGTCAGAGCACTTACAATGCAAATTTCCATATAATTAGAGGCATAACTCTTTTAAAAATAATTGATCAGCACTGATTTTCCAAATGTCCGAGACCATGCTGATATAAAACTATTATATAAGTTTAATAAAAATCTGACAAGAAATGTACACATGAGAGTGCAAACAATGAAATTTTCTATAAAATTAATATTTCTAAAGGCCATCACTCTTTTAAAAATGTTTGATTGGCACTGATTTTCGAACATGTCTGAGACATGGCTGATATAAACATACAATTAAAGTTTCATAAAAATCTGGCAAAAATTGTACACATGAGAGCGCTAACGATGTTATTTTTCACATAATTAATGTTTCCATTGGACATAACTCTTTTAAAAATAGTTAATCGGCACTGATTTTCAAATTTGTCCAAGAAATTGATGATTTAAATCTATGATATAAGTTTTATTAAAATCTGGCAAGAATTGTACATGTGAGGGGCTAACAAGACAGGACGGAAGGATGCATGGATGCCCGGTATTTCTATGTCCCAGCAAGGCATCGTGCAGGGGACAACAAGTTGAAAAGAATCACCTATTATTTACAAAATATAGTTTGTGATGGAGAAATATGGATCTTTACAGGGCTTTCCTTGCATATGATAGTTTTAATTGTCAACACAATTTGCCAAAAAAAAAAAAACCAACAAATTTTTCACCCACAAAAAAGTTTGGATAAAAATTCAAAATTTAGTCTGCATGACATTTTGATAATTCTAACAAAAAAAGAAGGAAAAAACATGTTTTACTATTATCACAGTTATAGGTACAATGTACATGTACTCCAATTCTCATATTATACTTTTCTACTTTACCCATTTCAAGGAAAGTGCTACCAGACATATACATTTAAAGGGACTATATTATTTGATTGATAGATTGTTGATTGCTTAAAACTTTTGTTGGCAAATATTTCTTTTGCAAACACCATTTGAATGAGTACATAAATTGCTGACATGTCGTAACAGACTTCTGGAAATATATGAACACATAATTTTTTCTAATTACAATTTCCTTGTTCCCATTTCTATGTCCCTGTTGTGAAACTTACAAGGAAATCCTTTACATAATTCTTCAATAGGTGTTGACATTTTCTTTTCACTAATACGTTCATACTTCTGTCTTTTTGTAGCTGCCTTCAGACCCTGCCAAGGTAAACTTCCCCGCAAGAAGTACATAAACACATAGCCTAATGACTCCATATCATCTCTCCTACTTTGTTCTAAAAAAAATACACCTCACATTACATTAAGGTTCAACTTGTCCTGATTTACATGTTGCATTCAGCTGTTCTGTTCAAGATGCAGTAAGATTTCCCATTCAAAATGAAATTGAGTAAGAACATTGTTAAGCTTCAATCCTACCTTAAAAAGTTACAAAAAAAGTATTGATCTACATGTACTTAAATTTTGAAACAACAAGATTTTGCTTGCTGAGTCAGGCAAAGTATACACCCACTGGTTATTTGACATTGATGGAAAGTTTAATGAAAACAATTTAAAGTAACACCTAACAGCAGAGTTTAATTGCAGCCTACATTAAAACATTTTGTTTCTTTGTGTCTCTCTTGGATTCTTTTTTAATGTAGTAACTATTTCTCACACAAGTTTACACTTTCACATCCTGAGCTAAAAACTTCTTTGAAAACCAGTGTAAGCAGCTTCTAATATTTCCTTAATAAACCAATGTACTATACATGAAAATACAAATATAACTTGTTTAACAATAAGTGTGCACATTACCTATTCCTAAATGTGTGTTAATACTGGCATATCTGGCTGTGCCAGTGAGATTCTTGTTTTCCCGATAGGGAATATGTTGATGTGTCCTGGCATCCCTATATTTTTTAGCAAGTCCAAAGTCTATAATATACACAAGATTTCCTTTCTTTCCAAGTCCCATTAGAAAATTGTCAGGTTTCACATCTCTATGTATAAAGTTTTTGGAATGAATATATTCAATCCTACTAATCTGAAAGAAAATGAAATAAACAATTTAAGCAAATTGATGTAGATTTCATAGCTTAAACATATAAATGCATGTTGAGCTCGTCACTTTCTTAAAAATCTCTTCTAAATATTTCAGTTAATAGATGGACTCTTTTCAAAATAGAAACTTAGGCCAAAATTAAAATTAAGTTTGTTTCCCCTTACCCGACCGACCCTCTAAAAATCCGCCGACTGAAATAATTTTTTTCGAAAATCACGTTGTTGTTTTTTTCTCTCGTTTCGCTCAAAAGTTCGTTTTTTAATTTCGTTTCCTTGAATGGTCCGTATTTTCAACATTCCGCGAAATCATTGTCGCCCGTGTGTTTGCAGCAAAGGGTAAACAACGTATGCAAGGATACTGAAATTGGAATGGAATAATGTTTTAAATAAATGCATCCAAGCAATCTTAACTACTATTCCATTCTAGCTACGCCTCCAATAACAAAATGCGTAGCGAGAATGGTCAAGTAGTTACGATTGCGCATCAAAGCTCACCCTTGAGCTTAAATGTTAGGCCCGGTGTTTCTGTCGTGTTTGTGGTTAATCCCTGAGTTCGCCTTTATCAGTGGTTGACTCAATAAGTTGTATATTGGCGTGCTATTTATGCTATTTTGTTTCATTTCGTATGTGATATTGGACCATACACTAGTTGTCTTCGGATAAAATAGTAGTTGATTTTTTTCGAGCTCAGCATCATATTGTGTTGTGAAAAGTCGAGATGACTATACCAGCTAATGCTTTGATAAAAGTTCTTGTAAGTTCTTATGTCTTTTATAAGCTATAATGGGCTGATGATTAAATATGGTCACACATTCAGGGTTTTGTGAAATAAGATGCCAGTTTTTCATTATTATACTAGCGGTTGCTCCCGTTTCGCTGGGCGATGTGTTAGCAAGGTTTCCCTTTCTGTATTTTGTGTTTGATAAAAAAAATCGTTGATTTCAGATATTTGATATCCTCGTTTGAGCTTCTTACTGTTTTTTTAAGATCAGTTTTGCTGCTTGTGTTTCTGAGATACCTCAATACTTCACCCTTGATAAATCCTTTCAATGAAAACACTTTTTGGGTGTGAGCAGTGTCTGTGCAGATATTGATATGTTTCAGTTGGTTTGATATTGGTTTTAATGTCTTGTATCATACTATGCCTTCATTAAAGAATCTTTCTCCTTTGTATAATTATGACAGTGTCTAAGAATATTGTTTCATTACAGGAAAATTCGTAGGTGAACTTCAACTATCATTATCATTTTGTTTCTCTGTGTTGAAAGCATTGTAAAATGTGTTCAAGAATTAACAAACATTGTAAGGTCTGCTAACTCAGCGAATGCTGATCCGCACATAGGCACGCCCAAGGTTTCATGGTAAATTTTATTGTTAAAAATAAATTCATAGTTTTCTAGAATAAGCCTTAATAGGCGTGGTCATACTCGCTTGGATCACGGTTTGTGGCTTCTAGTATTTCCTTAAATGAAAAACAAGTGTACATATTTTTTGCATCGAATGTTACTAGGTAGCAGTCTCGGGGTTTTATATTTTCAATTGAATTAATAAAACTATAAGAAAGATATAGAACCGTGTCTCAATTTATATGTGGTCTACTCTAAGTCACAAAGGCATTGATATTTACAAACATTTTCTAGTCTGAAATTGTAAGGTCTTCTAGTCATGCATTATACGTTATACAGTATGTTGTTTTGGTATCAATAAAGTTCAATTTGTTGTTTTTCTGTGTTTTCCTGTATGTTAGATATATTTAAGGGATTTTCTCTAAAAAAAAAAAAAAAAAAGCCTACCTACCTACCCACTTCCAAAATGGTGGGTAGGGTAAGGGGAAACAAAGATATTTTTAATTGCGGCCTTAACAGACTAGCGCATACATTTCTTGTTTTTTTGCTTTACTTGGTGTTTAAATATTTTTTTTCTTTTAAACACATATGATGACAATGTATTAACATGATAAAGACTAGGATGATATTTCATAACAATTCAATAAGTAATACTTTACCAACTGATCAGCTAATAACAAAACAGTTTTTAAACTGAATTTGCGTGAGCAAAAATTAAACAGATCCTCAAGACTAGGTCCTAATAACTCCATCACCATAACATTGTAGTCTCCTTCTGCACCACACCACTTTATTGTTGGTATACCAACTAAAAATAAATATGACATGTATGATATTTGTTCAAAATTGTTCCTCAGCCCATAAATAAATACTCACTTCTTTGACCTTTGGTGGATATTTTTCTCATTGGCAATCATACCACATCTCTTTATTTTTTATGGTACATGTATGCACTAATAGCACTCTCACAATAGGCTTAAGAACACATTCACATAACATTTCTAACATCTTTCCAGCTGCAGTGGATTTATGTACCCAAAACTACATCTGTTGCACTGGATCATGAAAGCATGTATATTATAAAATCTCCAGTGATCTCCCCAGGCCGTTTTAGTGTCGCGGCCCCGCGATGCTATAATTTTTTACCGTGACGCTATAATAATTTCCGCGACGCTATAATTATTTTGACATTGAGAAAATCATAAACAATTCGAAATCTACGTTTGAATCAAGGCAAATTCGTCTCCCAAGAGAAGAAAAAAAAAAAAACCGAGCGAACTTAACAGGTTAGTCGTTTGTTATTTCAAACTAACAACTTGTAAAGAAGTGTTTTCTTTCCATTCCGGTACTCGTGGGCGTACATAAAACATTTCGATTCTGGGCAAAATAAGTTCTATACTTCATTAGAACGTGATGAAAATTGCCTTTAGGTAATGTTTCATCTATTTATTACAGTAAAATCGTGATATATTCATCCAATTCGCTTCTCCAACATTGTTTATTTTCGTAAATTTTTCTTCGACCGCCATTGATATATTTGTACAAATTATGGATCGGAAGCGGACCAGCTATGATAAAAATCCGCATTTTTACGGTAATAACTACAGATGCAGAAACGGCACAGCTGATAGAATAATAATGATCCCAATAGGGAAAGCTACTCATTCCACACGAATTTACAGACTATTTGTTAGATCTCCTTGCAAAATGTATTTATTTCTATGTAAACGCATTGTTTCAATTAATTTACTGATTAAAGTAGTTTAACAATGTTAAAAACATATATCTGTTTGAAACAACTTGGACTGATACATTGAGTCCCAGGAAATAATGAATTTCATAAACATGATAAACAGAATAGTTTTTAATTGAAATGGTATTACTATATGATACTTTCTTTTCCTTTTTGATATAAAAGAAGTTCTCTTTTGTACTAGATTTTTAGTTGGTAGTTTCTAACAAGAAAAATATAATTCTGTAACTATAAATGAATATTAAAGAAATAAACTAAAAGAACAGTTATACTTTAATTGTATTCTCAGTTATGAATTGAAAAAAATCAACATAACTTAAAAGAAAGAGAGCATTGCCGCGACGCAACAAATGACATTGAAAAATAAATACAATTTTTTGTTTACGCCAAATGTGATGCTATCCAAAATTCCTGGGGAGAACACTGATCTCTCTTCTCAAACACCACACCCCATTTACATAAATGTATGTCATGGTGTACATGTACAGGGTTTGAATCGATATAAATGGAATTCACTGATTTACCTAGATAGTTTATTCATATAGGGGCCCAGGCCCTATCCTTTAAAATATGAAATCCCCAATCACCTTTCCATCAAAACATTTCTAGAGAAAACACTGTGGATGCGTAATTGTACATATCTTGCTTAAATTTAAGGGGCAAGGAAATTTTCTAAGACACTAGCCAGCCAGTCAAGTGAAAATTTCTGTTCAAGCTTTGAAATGAAGATGGGTTCAAGTCTTCTGAATCACAATGGCAACTTTTAATAAAATGCTTCGCTGGGGCGCAGCTTGATACGACCGCAGAGGTCGAACCCTGAACAGTTGGGGCAAGTATGGACACAAAATTCAAGCTTGATACAGCTATGACTTTGGATTGTCATTAAATATTTGACACAGCATAGGTTTCTGACACAGGATGAATGTGGTGTAAGAACTGGAAAAAATTTAATTTACCTATTATGGTGGAATATCCATAAACTAAATTGTTTGTCAATTTCAATATATCAAAGAATATGTAGAATTCAATGTTTGATGTAATGTAATAAAGTTGAAATTTGGACTGTTTTTGTTCAATGTGGACCAATTTGGTAACATGTATAAATAATCAAAAATCTAAATACATGGGAGCCCATTTAAATACATCATAAAGGTATTAAAATAGAAAGTGACATCATAGTCATGGCTAAAAATAAACAAAAATCCTTAATCAGCAACATTTAAAGTAATATCTAAAAATAAAATTCCTTTGTAACCATAAAAGCCCATTTAAATACATCATAAAGATATTAAAATAGAAAATGACATCATAGTCATGGCTAAACATAGCAAAAAACCCTTAATCAGCATCATTTAACAGTAATATCTAAAAATGGAAATTACATCATAAAGGTATTAAAATAGAAAATGACATCATAGTCATGGCTAAAAATAAACAAAATCCTTAATCAGCATCAGCAACATTTTATAGTAATATCTAAAAATAAAATTCCTTTGTAACCATAAAAGCCCATTTAAATACATCATAACAGATATTAAAATAGATAAAATGCTTCGCTGGGCGCAGCTTGATACGACCGCAGAGGTCGAACCCTGAACAGTTGGGGCAAGTATGGACACAACATTCAAGCTTGATACAGCTCTGAATTTGGATTGTGATTAAATATTTGACACAGCATAGGTTTCTGACACAGAAAGAATGTGGTCTAAGAACTTCAATTTTTTTAATTTACCTATTATGGTCCAATGTCCAAAATCAAAATACATGGTTAGATTCAGCATATCAAAGAACCCCATATATTCAATTTTTGTTGAAATCAAACAAAGTTTAATTTTGGACCCCAACTTGGACAAACTTGAAAACTGGTCCCATAATCAAAAATCTAAACACATGTTTAGATTCAGCATATCAAAGTACCCCAAGAATTCAATTTTTGTTAAAATCAAACTAAGTTTAATTTTGGACCCTTTGGACCTTAATGTAGACCAATTTAAAAAACGGGACCCAAAATTAAAAATCTAAATACACGGTTAGATTTGGCATATCAAAGAACCCCAATAATTCAATTTTTGATGAAATCAAACAAAGTTTAATTTTGGACCCTTTTGACCTCAATATGAACCAATTTGATAGCAGGCCCACAAAATAAAAAATCTAAATACATGGTAAGATTCAGCATATCAAAGAACCCCATATATTCAATTTTTGTTGAAATCAAACAAAGTTTAATTTTGGACCCCAATTTGGACCAACTTGAAAACTGGACCAAAAATCTAAAATCTAAATACATGTTTAGATTCAGCATATCAAAGAACCCCATATATTCAATTTTTGTTGAAATCAAACAAAGTTTAATTTTGGACCCCAACTTGGACCAACTTGAAAACTGGTCCCATAATCAAAAATCTAAACACATGTTTAGATTCAGCATATCAAAGAACCTCAAAAATTCAATTTTTGTTAAAATCAAACTAAGTTTAATTTTGGACCCTTTGGACCTTAATGTAGACCAATTTAAAAAACAGGACCCAAAATTAAAAATCTAAATACACGGTTAGATTTGGCATATCAAAGAACCCCAATAATTAAATCTTTGATGAAATCAAACAAAGTTTAATTTTGGACCCTTTTGACCTCAATATGAACCAATTTGATAGCGGGCCCACAAATAAAAAATCTAAATACATGGTAAGATTCAGCATATCAAAGAACCCCATATATTCAATTTTTGTTGAAATCAAACAAAGTTTAATTTTGGACCCCAATTTGGACCAACTTGAAAACTGGGCCAAAAATCTAAAATCTAAATACATGTTTAGATTCAGCATATCAAAGAACCCCATATATTCAATTTTTGTTGAAATCAAACAAAGTTTAATTTTGGACCCCAACTTGGACAAACTTGAAAACTGGGCCCATAATCAAAAATCTAAACACATGTTTAGATTCAGCATATCAAAGAACCCCAAGAATTCAATTTTTGTTAAAATCAAACTAAGTTTAATTTTGGACCCTTTGGACCTTAATGTAGACCAATTTAAAAACGGGACCCAAAATTAAAAATCTAAATACACGGTTAGATTTGGCATATCAAAGAACCCCAATAATTCAATTTTTGATGAAATCAAACAAAGTTTAATTTTGGACCCTTTTGACCTCAATATGAACCAATTTGATAGCGGGTCCACAAATAAAAAATCTAAATACATGGTTAGATTCAGCATATCAAAGAACCCAAAGAATTCAATTTTTGATGAAATCAAACAAAGTTTAATTTTGGACCCTTTTGACCTCAATGTGGACAAAGTTGATAACGGGTCCCAAAAATCAAAAATCTAAATACATGGTTAGATTCAGCATATCAAAGAACCCCATATATTCAATTTTTGTTGAAATCAAACAAAGTTTAATTTTGGACCCCGATTTGGACCAACTTGAAAACTGGGCCCATAATCAAAAATCGAAATACATGTTTAGATTCAGCATATCAAAGTACCCTAAAAATTCAATTTTTGTTAAAATCAAACTAAGTCTAATTTTGGACCCTTTTGACCTTAATGTAGACCAATTTGAAAACGGAACCAAAAATTAAGAATCTAAATACACGGTTAGATTCGGCATATCAAAGAACCCCAATAATTCAATTTTTGATGAAATCAAACAAAGTTAAATTTTGGACCCTTTGGACCTCAATGTGGACCAATTTAAAAACGGGGCCCAAAATCCAAAAACTTAATACACGGTTAGATTCAGCATATTAAAGAACCCCAAGAATTCAAGAATAAAACCCCATTGAAATTGATCAAGAAATAAGCAATTTATACGAAGTATCTTCTTTTGCACAATACTGTGCAATTGAATATTTCTTGCTATTGTGCAATACTGTACAATTGACAATTTCTTGCTATTGCGCAATATTGTGCTATTGGATATTTCTTGCTATTGCGCAATACTGTGCAATTGAAGATTTCTTGCTATTGCGCAATACTGTGCAATTGAAGATTTCTTGCAATTGTGCAATACTGTGCAATTGAAAATTTCTTGCTATTGCACAATACTTATTATATAATAATTTACACATCCTGTTTGGTGTGTATCTCCTACCATATCATTATTATTTGCTTTTAAATATTAATCAGAAATAACCAACTTAAAATGAAAATTTTAAAAGAAAAAAAAAAGGAAAAAAAAAAAAAAAAAAAAGAAAAAAAAAATCCCCCCCCCCAAATTTTTTGAACCCCCTTATGATTCATCACCCCCAAACTCAATCCCAGCCTTCCCTTTGTGGTATGGTACCTTGCAGTACAATTTCAGAGAGATCCATACACTTGAACACAAGTTATTGTCTGGAAACTAGAAAAATGCTTATTTTTGGCCCCTTTTTGGCCCCCAATTCCTAAACGTTTTGGGCAATTACCCCCAAACTCAATTCCAGCTTTCCCTTTGTGATATGGAACCTTGTAGTACAATTTCAGAAATATCCAAACACTTACACACAAGTTATTGTCATGAAACTAGAAAAATGCTTGTTTTTTGCCCCTTTTTTGGCCCCTAATTCCTAAAATTTTGAGGCAATTACCCCCAAAATCAATTACAGCCTTCCCTTTGTGATATGGAACCTTGTGGTACAATGTCAGAGAGAAACATACACTTACACACAAGTTATTGTCTGGAAGTTACAAAAATGCTTATTTTTGGCCCCTTTTTGGCCCCTAATTCCTTAACTGTTGGTACCATAACCCCCAAAATCAATCCCCACCTTCCTTTCGTGGTATTGAACCTTATGGTAAAATTTCATGGAGATCCATTCACTTAAACTAAAGTTAGAGTGCGAAAACCAATGTGTCTTCGGACGACGCCAGACGACGACGACGACGACGACGACGACGCCAACGTCATACCAATATACGACCAAAAAATTTTCAATTTTTGCGGTCGTATAAAAATGACATCATAGTCATGGCTAAACATAGCAAAAACCTTAATCAGCATCATTTAACAGTAATATCTAAAAATAAAAATTTCTTTGCAACCATAAAAGTAAAATAGAAAATGACATCATAATCATAGCTAATAAAATGCTCCGCAGGGCGCAGCTTGATACGACCGCAGAGGTCGAACCCTGAACAGTTGGGGCAAGTATGGACACAACATTCAAGCTTGATACAACTCTGAATTTGGATTGTGATTAAATATTTGACACAGCATAGGTTTCTGACACAGAATGAATGTGGTCTAAGAACTTAAAAATTTTAAATTGGACATTCACCTATTATGGTCCAATATCCAAAATCTAAATACATGGTTAGATTCAGCATATCAAAGAACCCCAAGAATTCAATTTTTGATGATATCAAACAAAGTTTAATTTTGGACCCTTTTGATCTCAATGTGGACAAAAATGATAACAGGGCCCAAAAATCAAAAATCTAAATACATGGTTAGATTCAGCATATCAAAGAACCCCATATATTCAATTTTTGTTGAAATCAAACAAAGTTTAATTTTGGACCCCGATTTGGACCAACTTGAAAACTGGGCCCATAATCAAAAATCTAAATACATGTTTAGATTCAGCATATCAAAGAACCCTAAAAATTCAATTTTTGTTAAAATCAAACTAAGTTTAATTTTGGACCCTTTGGACCTTTATGTAGACCAATTTGAAAACGGAACCAAAAATTAAGAATCTAAATACACGGTTAGATTCGGCATATCAAAGAACCCCAATAATTCAATTTTTGATGAAATCAAACAAAGTTAAATTTTGGACCCTTTGGACTTCAATGTGGACCAATTTAAAAACGGAGCCCAAAATCCAAAAACTTAATACACGGTTAGATTCAGCATATTACAGAACCCCATATATTCAATTTTTGTTGAAATCAAACAAAGTTTAATTTTGGACCCCGATTTGGACCAACTTGAAAACTGGGCCCATAATCAAAAATCTAAATACATGGTTAGATTCAGCATATCAAAGAACCCCATATATTCAATTTTTGTTGAAATCAAACAAAGTTTAATTTTGGACCCCGATTTGGACCAACTTGAAAACTGGGCCCATAATCAAAAATCTAAATAAATGGTTAGATTCAGCATATCAAAGAACCCCATATATTCAATTTTTGATGAAATCAAACAAAGTTTAATTTTGGACCCTTTTCATCTCAATGTGGACAAAGTTGATAACGGGGCCCAACAATCAAAAATCTAAATACATGGTTAGATTCAGCATATCAAAGAACCCCATATATTCAATTTTTGTTGAAATCAAACAAAGTTTAATTTTGGACCCCGATTTGGACCAACTTGAAAACTGGGCCCATAATCAAAAATCTAAATACATGGTTAGATTCAGCATATCAAAGAACCCCATATATTCAATTTTTGTTGAAATCAAACAAAGTTTAATTTTAGACCCCGATTTGGACCAACTTGAAAACTGGGCCCATAATCAAAAATCTAAATACATGGTTAGATTCAGCATATCAAAGAACCCCATATATTCAATTTTTGTTGAAATCAAACTAAGTTTAATTTTGGACCCTTTGGACCTTTATGTAGACCAATTTGAAAACAGAACCAAAAATTAGAATCTAAATACACGGTTAGATTCGGCATATCAAAGAACCCCAATAATTCAATTTTTGATGAAATCAAACAAAGTTCAATTTTGGACCCTTTGAACCTCAATGTGGACCAATTTAAAAACGGGGCCCAAAATCCAAAAACTTAATACACGGTTAGATTCAGCATATTAAAGAACCCCAAGAATTCAAGAATAAAACCCCATTGAAATTGATCAAGAAATAAGCAATTTATACGAAGTATCTTCTTTTGCACAATACTGTGCAATTGATTATTTCTTGCTATTGCGCAATACTGTACAATTGACAATTTCTTGCTATTGCGCAATATTGTGCTATGGGATATTTCTTGCTATTGCGCAATACTGTGCAATTGAAGATTTCTTGCTATTGCGCAATACTGTGCAATTGAAGATTTCTTGCTATTGTGCAATACTGTGCAATTGAAAATTTCTTGCTATTGCCTAATACTTATTATATAATAATTTACACATCCTGTTTGGTGTGTATCTCCTACCATATCATTATTATTTGCTTTTAAATATAAATCAGAAATAACCAACTTAAAATGGAAAATTTTAAAAGAAAAAAAAAGGAAAAAAAGAAAAAAAAAAATCCCCCCCCAAAATTTTTTGAACCCCCTTATGATTCATCACCCCCAAACTCAATCTCAGCCTTCCCTTTGTGGTATGGTACCTTGCAGTACAATTTTAGAGAGATCCATACACTTGAACACAAGTTATTGTCTGGAAACTAGAAAAATGCTTATTTTTGGCCCCTTTTTGGCCCCCAATTCCTAAACGTTTTGGGCAATTACCCCCAAACTCAATTCCAGCTTTCCCTTTGTGATATGGAACCTTGTAGTACAATTTCAGAAATATCCAAACACTTACACACAAGTTATTGTCATGAAACTAGAAAAATGCTTGTTTTTTGCCCCTTTTTTGGCCCCTAATTCCTAACATTTTGAGGCAATTACCCCCAAAATCAATTACAGCCTTCCCTTTGTGATATGGAACCTTGTGGTACAATGTCAGAGAGATCCATACACTTACACACAAGTTATTGTCTGGAAGTTACAAAAATGCTTATTGTTGGCCCCTTTTTGGCCCCTAATTCCTTAACTGTTGGTACCATAACCCCCAAAATCAATCCCAACCTTCCTTTTATGGTATTGAACCTTATGGTAAAATTTCATGGAGATCCATTCACTTAAACTAAAGTTAGAGTGCGAAAACCAATGTGTCTTCGGACGACGCCAGACGACGCCGACGACGACAACGACGACGACGACGCCAACGTCATACCAATATACGACCAAAAAATTTTCAATTTTTGCGGTCGTATAAAAATAAACAAAATTTTTTTTTACTGGCAAATTTTAAATGGAGTTTATTATACTAAAACAATAAATTTGCAACCATAAACATGATAAAACCCCATTTAAACACATCATAAAAGTATTAAATAATTCAACTACATCATAAGGCTATAAAAATAGAAAATGACTTCATAGTCAAGGCTAAAGGTAAACAAAAAACCTTCATCAGCAAAATTTTATATTGGCAAATTTCCAATGAAGTTTATTACACTAAAATTGTTGGCAAATTTCCAATGCATTTATTAACAATAAAGTTATTGGCAAATTTCCAATTTACATAATTTAAAAGCAGTGTAGATGAGATATTTAAATGAGTTTGAATTACCAACCTTACACTGCTTTTAAATAATGTTCTTTACTCAATTATTTGTCTATTAAAATGGAAACCCTTGTTTTTTAACCTTTTTTCTTAAACATTAGAGCCATAACCACCCCCCCCCCCCCAAAGCCAATTATTACTTTCCAATGTAACTTAAATTTCCAATATACATAATTTTAAATTTCAATTCCTCATGATATATAATTGTATCATTATTATTTTCTTTCATATATAAATCTGAAACAACCATCTTTAAATGGAAAATTTTAAAGAAAAAAAAAATCCTTATTTTTTACCAATATTTGGCCCCTTATTCATAAATGTTTGAGCAATTAACCCCAAAACTCAATTCCTACTTTCTCTTCGTGATAAAAAATAACTAACTTAAAATGTAAATTTTAAACAAAAAAAAAAGGAAAAAAAAAAATTACCCCTTTTTTGACCCCCGCCCCCCTTATGATTCATCACCCCCACCCCCCTTTCCCCCCAAACCAAGCTCAATAACAGCCTTGCCTTTGTGGTATGGTACCTTGTAATACAATTTTAGAGAGATCCATACACTTGAACACAAGTTATTGTCTAGAAACTAAAAAATGCTTATTTTAAACCCCTTTTTAGGCCCCTTATTACTAAACGTTTTGGGCAATTACCACAACACTCAATTCCAGCTTTCCCTTTGTGAAATGGAACCTTGTAGTAAAATTTCAGAAAGATCCATACACTTACACACAAGTTATTGTCATGAAACTAGATATGCTTGTTTTTTGCCCCCTTTTGGCCCCTTATTCCTAAAATTTTGAGGCAATTAACCCCAAAATCAATCCCAGCATTGACCCTTTGTGATATGGAATCTTGTGGTACAATGTCAAAGAGATCCATATGCTAACACACAAGTTATGTCTGGAAGTTACAAAAATGCTTATTTTCGGCCCCTTTTTGGCCCCTAATTCCTTAACTGTTGGTACCATAACCCCCAAAATCAATCCCCACCTTTCTATTGTGGTATTGAACCTTATGGTAAAATTTCATAGAGATCCATTCACTTAAACTAAAGTTAGAGTGCGAAAACCATTGTGTATTCGGACGACGACGACGACGCCAACGTCATACCAATATACGACCTCAAAATTTTTTTGCGGTCGTATAAAAATCTGAAAAATATTATTTTCATTTGGAAATTTCAATACATAAAACAGGCATCCCCTTTTTGTTAAAATAGATTACCCTTGTGTAGATTATATATACATGTATATATATAGTTAAAATTATTATGCACTAGTATTTTTAGATAGTAGATAAACATTTTTGTAACTTACATTTCACGAGAAGTTTTGTTACTAAAAATGCTTACCTCCACCTTGCATCATGCGATATATTTTGCTCTCTATATGCAGTTGTGGATGTTTTGTTTTGACACATTCTAATTTGATAGCAACTTCTTCACCATTAGAAATATCAGTACCTGTAATGAAAATTTCAGAAAATAACAGATATGTTAACGTTTAATCAAACAAAAATGTGTTACATATACATGTATAATATTTTAACCCAGACACATGTTCAAGTGTCTGTCAAATTAAGGAAACTATCAGTGGTATTTTGTAGGATGTTTAGTTATTTTTTTTTCTGTTTATTCATGTATTAACCAGGTTGTTAAAGAACATTCTGATTTTGGGGGGACCACTGAGGAAAGCCCTCAAATGAAGTACTGTAACTTAATAAGGAATACAATGCAAGCATTAAAAATTTGTTCAAGTGTCACAGATTCCCAAATAGCAATAAGGTCTATTTGCGACACTTAAAACTATTGACGTCATACATGTACGTACAACAATCACTTTTCCTTTGTGGCATCAGACATTTTCTCTTGTGACGTCAAAATTTGTTTGAACTTTAGTAATGTGCAGTAATTAAATAGCGGACAAATAACGATAAAATGTATAAAAACTGTCCATGGGCATGGCTTAAAAAAAAACAGTACATTAAAGTCATTTTTGTATATGCTTATAAATACTAGTATTGGCCTGTATTCAGCTCGTTTTATGAATAAGCAGAGGTTAAGTGAAAGGGTCGGTTTATCCCAATGTGGACTCGGTCCTGTAAGAAACTGAAGGCCAAGATATTTTAAACACAAACCACAACATATAAAATTTTACCAGTCTTTGTTCATCATTTTCATGACTCACCAAGGTAAATATCACCAAAAGATCCACTACCAATTTTTCTCCCAAGTCTGTACTTATTTCCTACTCTAAGCTCCATGCTAAAATACAGATAAGACACAGATTAAAACAATATTTCTAAAATCTGACAGATGAAAACAAAAGGTTTACGTAGCTACAAATATAGACCGAATTCATGAGAGGGTTCATTACTTACTCTGGATCGTAATCGACTTCAAATTGGTTTCAAAATGTAGTTTAATGTCTCTTCTGAAAGAAAATTGAAGAAACGAATGCCATTTCAATATATTATTTGGCAGATGGTCTCGATTTTTGTTGATACTACTCTATTATTCGTCCATTATTTTCTAGGATATCGGTTGCCCGACATCAGTGCGCATGACATAACTTTATTTTCCGGGACAAAAAAATATGTGAACTCCCTTCCGGTTGTAAAATGAAAGTGAAAGTACGTAAGAAACTGAAACCGTCCGATCTGAAACAAGCGCTATTTTATTTAGTTTCTTGTCGTTTAGAATTGTTAACTTTGAGTTGTATCAGATTTTTATTAAGGCAGAACCTACAATACATAGTTGTCGTAGGTTGCTGTTTTTTGTATCTGTTTTTGGTTTATACACCTTATCGCTATTTGGAAATCTGTCCCGCTTGACCCGAGAATCTGTCCCGCTTGAACTTTTGACGTCATACAACAATCACTTTTCCATTGTGGCGTCAGATATTTTCTATTATGACGTCAAAATTTTACGGGAACTTTTTTGATGTCCAGTAATGGCGGACAAAAAGCGATAAGGTGTATTGTTTTGTGATATTTGTTTTTGGTCACAGGCATTCGTCTCTGAAAAAAAATTCCTATAGTATATACCTCAAGGTATATAGGAATTTTTTTAAGGTATATAGGATTTATTTTCAGAGACAAGTGCCTGTGTTTTTGGTGTATTGTTTTGTCATATTAGTTTTGAATTGTTTCACATATATTTTCATGTCGGGACCTTTTATAACTTGACTATACAATATGGCCTTTATCATCGTTAAAGGCTGTCAGGTGCTCAAATCCACATCATTTAGACTCTGTTATAAATCTGGAAAAAATGGATCTTCTTCCGGTAAGCGGCCACCGTCAACTGGTTGACTATTCTGCCACATTATGGAGTGAGTGCATGAAATTTTTTGAAATTTAATAAACAAAAATAGGTTTTTTAACTATATATACAGGTGCAGTTGAAAGATTCAGGACTCGGGGCGGAGACAGTACAGTTGGGCAAGGTGTTCCACTCTCTGATTGTTCAAGGATAGAACGACTCCTTCCGTACAGTTGTTTTACATGATGGAATTCTAAATGGCTTTTAATTGTTATTTCTGGAAGGGCGTTCATGTGGTATTAGCTTACTAAATGTATCGATTTTGACATATTTGTTCTGTAGCTTGTATATCATTATTAAGTGGCCGTGTTTCCTCTGTTCTTGTAGAGTAGACCATTCAAGATGTTCAAGCATGTTACTAACAGATGAGGTGTTGTGGTATCTGTTAGTAACATACCTTGCTGCCCTTCTTTGAACCATATCCAATCTTTGGATGTCATTTTTTTGGTATGGGTCCCATACTGCACTAGCAAATTCTAAAGTAGGCCAGATGAGGGACATGTATGCTTTTTCTTTAATTGACTTGTTGGAGATGTTTCCCATACAGCCAGTTGGTCAAGGTCCTTTTGTAAATTTTGCGGCATCTGCATTGGATGAGATTGTGACATAAGCAATAGTGTCATCAGCAAACAGTCGTACGGTTGACTGAATACCCTTGGGCATGTCGTTTATATAAAACAAAAATAGACTAGGTCCCAGGACGGATCCTTGTGGTAAGCGTCGGTTTATCAGTGATTTATTCTGTCTGTCTGTGCAAGTTGTGTCTGGTCTTCAAGTTCAAACTAATTTCAACTTCATGAGCATTCCTGATGAAGGTAAATTTAGAAAAGCCCTTCAAATGAAACAAATTTATATGTGTTAATTTCATTTTTTTTAAACTTGGTTGATGTGTCTGCTGGTGGACTGTTAGTCCTCAAGGGTGTCATCAGCTCAGTAGTGCAGTGCTTCAGTACCATGAGTACTGACACATACTGTAATATACTTTTGCAATTAAATTCTCTGTTCGATCTGATCACACAACCACTGAGGCTCCTCAAGCATATAATATCATATCTTTATCTTCCTCACTCAACAACAAGATACGTTTATGTCCCTGTGAAAGAGGGTCTTCAGAAATACTGTGAAACTGTTTACTCGCGTAGTGGTATTAACCATATGTGGATTCTAAAAAACTCTAAAGAACTACTGGATAATTTTAAATCTCGATCTTTTTCTGAAATTAGTTCTATCAAAACTTTTGATTTTTCAACCCTGTATACCACCATTCCCCATGTGAAATTGAAAAATCGTATAAAAGAAATATCCACAATGCTTTTCAACATTAAAATGGTAGCATACGCTATAATTTTATTACTTTGGGATACCATACGGCATATTTTGTTAATAGTGAACAAAAAAAAGGTAAAACATGCTACATATAGGAACAAGTGATCAGTATGCTGGAGTTTCTTATTGACAACATATTTGTTGAATTTGGAGGTAGACTTTTTCAACAAATTGTCGACATTCCTATGGGAACGAACTGTGCGCCTTTCCTTGCTGACATCTTCTTATTTTCATACGAGTTGGAGTTCCTTCAGACACTTGTCAAAAACAAGAAGATCAAAGAAGCCATATCATTTAATTTCACATTCAGATATATTGATGATGTTCTTTCCATTTACAATCCAAACTTTTCTGATTAGGTTCCATTAATATATCCTCCAGAACTAGAAATTAAAGAAACAACAGACACGGCTTCCTCCGCCTCATTTTTAGACTTATACCTCGAATGTGACATACACGGTAATCTCAGTACCAGAATCTATGACAAACAAGACAATTTTAATTTTGAAATTATCAATTTCCCCCACCTTAGTAGCAATATACCAACTTCACCTGCATATAGGATATACATTTCCCAACTTATTTGGTATTCAAGAGCTTGCAGCTGCTCCTCAGACTTTGTAAAACATCACCAGTGTCTGAGCAGAAAGTTGATGAACCAGGGGTATGTCAAAGAACGTCTCATCCCTTTTCTAAAAAAGTTCATCGGAAGGTACCAAGACCTTGTTGATAAATATTCCGTATCAACTTCACAAATAATACACGATGGTCTTGAAGTTTAGATTCTGGGTACTGACGTTGTTTATCATTCTAATAACGTGTTATAGTATTAATTTATTTGTCTTTGTGAATATTACTTTTACTGTTTAGTCTATTTTTGGTGATATCCATTTGACGTGGCTCGGTACTTATACATCCCGTCATTGTGTTATTGTGATAGGTAAGTTTTTGTATTCTTGTCTTTCATGTTTGCTAATATGCTTTGTCTATATGCCTTTTTGTGTTTCTTTGTTGACATATTTGTTTGTTTTTATAGGGATTAAGATTATAACACAATGTTGACTGCTGTACCCATATTTTTGACATTTTTACCTAGTATGTCTGTTTGTTTTGTTCTCACATTGTTGTCAATATAATGGAATTTTATGCGACTGTCCTACAAGTAAGAAAATAAGCAAGAAAATGCCTGTACCAAGTCAGGAATATGACAGTTGTTATCCATTCGTTTGATGTGTTTGAGCTTTTAATTTTGCAATTTGATTAGGGACTTTCCGTTTTGAATTTTCCTCGGAGTTCTGTATTTTTGTTATTTTAGTTTTTATTATTAGATCATAAATGATCATAGTTTTAATGCCAGAAGCAGTTTTTGGGGGTAGGGGGGAGTGGGGGTTGTTCCTGGGCCCACCTTATGGAACTACGTTAATTTGTTGAAAGAGGATTAATACTGTATAACTGGTGTTTTGCCATTCTTTTTGCCAATCAGAATTTTTTTATGTGAACCATTTATGATATAATAATTTACCTTCTGAAAAACAGTAGAAAAAAGTACAAAATTTACATCTGAAACTGATGAAATTACTTCCCTTTGATTTAGACACAGCGCTGTTGTTAAAGCAACAAGATGGGTGCTCCAATCAATACAAAAAGAATTCAGAGTGAAAATAGAAAGTTAACAATTTTTGATTCACTAAAATGTTGATGTTTCTACTATAATGGAGATTTCAACCTTTATGGTACAATGTACTTGCATAAAACTTGACAAATTATGAACTTTCAACAAGAAAATGAAATCGACATGATTGACCTGTTGCATGAATTTAACTTTAGTTGAATCTTTTCTTTCTGCTTCTATATACCAGTATATAAAATTTCATATTTCATTTTAATCCTTGATCTAAAAGTGTGATATTGAATGACATTCAGAAACTATGTATGGTATCAAAATAAATGCCTCTGCTAAAACAGAACAAAACTCACGAATACAATATGATGTAATAAATGCTAAATATCAAGGCAACATCTACAAGTCCATTAATAAAGCTATGGACAAGTACATTTCTTCTAAAAGTCTTGACCAAAAGTACATATAAGAATAACTTTCATGACACTCCAAGGGCCATACAGCCATAGACTACTTACTGTGTATGACCTTCAAGGCAGGGATTCAAATCTTATTCACCATACACCATTGTTACATGTACTCCAACCAATACTTGAGCTACAGCTTAAACATGATTTATAAACAAGATCTGAAAGTTTACTAAGTTTGTTATCTTTCACCATCCATCAAGAGGTTAAGTGAATGAGGAATTGTAAATTGACACTAAGTTTACAAACATGTAAATGGTAATGACATAAATTAATGATATACTTGAGAATGCTGCTGAAAGATTGGATTACCGTCTGGAAATTATGCAAAAATTCTCAAATTGTGTACATATAACTAGATCCATATCTTCAACACATACACAAGCATTATGAAAAGTTTGAAGGTTATGGGGTCAAGATTGGATTGCCGTCCGAAAATTATGCAAAAATTATCAAATTGTGTACATATAACTAGGTCCATATCTTCAACACATACACAAGCATTATGAAAAGTTTAAAGGCTCTGGGGTCAAGATTGGATTACTGTCTGGAAATTATGCAAACATTCTCAAATTGTGTACATATAACTAGGTCCATATCTTCAACACATACACAAGCATTATGAAAAGTATGAAGGCACTGGGGTCAAAATTGTTGGTACAGTTGATTACACAAAAAAGGTACAATCCATGGAAAATGCTTCTGAAAATCCACAAAAAATTATCCTAATGCCAAAACAAACTGAGCTGCACATCTTTAATGTTAACACACATTCTAGACAATTTACAGGCTCTTGGGTTGAAAACTTTCAACTGTTAAGTACACATAACAAGTACCCTACTTTCCCTGCCTGCTTTGACTCCCCCAACTAGCCTGCCATTCACTGTACTAAACCAGGTTACCTGGATTCTTTATGCAACCAGGCCAAAAAATTATTTGACATTCTTTTCCTTGAAATAGTTATAAAAAATACAATTTAAAAAATACCATTAAATCTGATGAAAAGTAATAGTGTACATGAAAACAAAAAGAAACATTGTTTTCGTCCCTTTTTTCTGAAATAGAACATTGATCCGGTTTCAGTTTTCAAAGAATCAGTGACAAAAAAAATGCATAACAATGAACATAAAGTTTCAAGTTTATGTGACCATAACTTTATGGTAAACTACCTCAACCAAAAACTTTAACCTGAATGACACTATCACATTTCTATCTTCAATGAATCTCAAAATCTTTATTTGACATATATTTTAAGGAGTTAACATCATGATAAACATGTGTACTAAATTTCAAGTTAATGTGACCACAAATTCATGGTTACAGTAACTTACATAACCAAAAACCTAAACCTGATATGCACAATCACATTTCAATATTCAATGATCCACCAAATCCACCAAAATAATAATTTGTCATATATTTTTAATAGTTCACATCATAATGAACATAAGTTTCCATATCTTCATGGTACAAGACAGACTCACAGACAGGAAAACATCTATCATAGGTGGGGCATAAAAGCATTGTGCAACACTCCCATACAATAATAATATATGACCATAACTTTGCAGTTGCGTAAAACTTAAATTTTATTTGTAAATCAAAACACCATACTTCTTAAAACAAAATAAACAAATTTCTCTTTTCACATTAGGTTTAATTATATCATCAATATCTGCATGCCTTGACAAGTCTCTGTTTCTAAATGACATCAGTATATATTGATCTGCTTTGGAGCCCTTTTCTTGGGCCAACTCCATATTTCAAGTTCATAGCTCAAAAGCTATAATTTACAATTCCAAATACCAGAAATAATCATGTGTTGAGCATGCTATCAAAGTCTGGTGTACAAACAAGTCTATGTTTTATGTGTCCTAATACACTCAAATTACCACTGTCTTCTGTTGTGTGTATGGAAACAACGTCCTAGAAAAAATACAAGACACAATAATTAAACTAACACTGCAAGTAATACATCATTAAACAATATAAAGAATGTTCACCTCATTGTGCTATTCTAAAAGGTTACCAATTCAGCACTGTAATTAGACCTTTGAATATTGTTTTTATTGGGTATAAATATTGATTTTTTTTATCAGTAAATTAAAACCAAACTAATATTATTGTTATAAACATATGCACATTCACCGTTCCACAATCTGTTGATACCTGTATTTTGGCATCGCACAAGATCATGTTTTTCTCTTGACTGCTCATGATGTCTTTACACTAAATCCATTGGATGTTGGATGTGTACTGATTGATATTTAAGTTTTAGTTGCATGATTTTTTTATTAGTAATTATTGGCTTTGAACTAGCTGTCATTAACTGTGAGTACTCTCAGATCTGTATTTGGTGTCTTTTTTGTTGTGGGGATGTATAAATACCCTTCCATGTCCGGTCTGTGTTTTTGTTACTTGTTTTTTCTGCTTTGTATCAATCTGATAAGTAAAGCCCTTTTCAACTGATTTTTATAGTTTGTTCATATGTTGTGTTGTTACACAATCTAATTAAAACCACTGTCCCAGGTTAGAGGGAGGGTTGGGCGCCCACAAACATGTTTGACCCCGCCACTTTCTGCGTGTGCCTGTCCCTCTTCAGGAGCCTGTTATTCAGTGGTTGTCATTTGTTGCTGTATATCATATTTGTTTTTCATTCATTGTTTTGAACATAAATCAGGCTGTTAGTTTTCTCATTTGAATTGTTTTACATTTGTCATTTTGGGCCTTTTATATAGCTGACAATGGGATATTGGTTTTGCTCATTGTTGAAGGCCGTACGGTGACCTATAGTTGTTAACTTCTATGTCATTTGGTCTCTGGTGGAGAGTTGTCTCATTGGCAATCATACCACATCTTCTTGTTTTAATGTGTTGTGTGTACTCACAAAAAACATGTAGAGACGGCTGAAATATTGATAACTAGCCAGTGGCTATAGGGATTCATTTGCATAATCCAACAAGAGGCACACCTAGTGAAGAAAATCACCTGTCTGCTTATTTGGATACTTATTTGCACATACTGTAGTTACTCTTTGTGTTGCTGATCATTTTTACATGTTTAACCAAGTTTTTTAGATAACAGCAAAAACAAAAACCAGTAAAAATCAACATTTCAGGGACAACAACTCCAAAAAAAAGGTTGTGAAACTTACAGAGTAGATAGATCTTGTCATGTTGATCATTTTTGCAGTTAATACTTTTAATCTAGCTCTTATAGTTTTCACAATAACAGCAAAGAACTATCAAAAAATGGATATTTCAGGGACAATAACTCCAAAACAGATCAACAGATTTTTTCTACAATTTTCAGGCTGGATATATCTTGTCATTTTTTTCAATTTTCACTCTTAGCTTAGTTTCTACAGTTTTCACAAAAACTGCTATAAATTGGAATAAGAAAGAAAATTGATATTTCAAGGGCAATAACTCCAAACAAGTAGTCAGATTTTCTAATTTCAAATCTCTAATTTTCAGGGTGGATATATGTCATGCTGATCATTTTTGCAATTTACACTTTCAACCTAGCTCCTATAATTATAAAAAAATGGCACAGAAATGCCAAAGAAAATAAAAAATCAAGGGGCAATAATTCCAAAACAGTTTTTTTTCTAATATTTCAGGGTTAAGAAAACTTGCTTGTGCTAAAAACATAACACTGAATTTTGAACCATAAAAATGAGGTCAAGGTCAGATGAATTTCCATATAGTTAATCTATTGCTTATACTATCTGTGTGAATACTTTATAAATATACTCCATTATGACAATCTATAATGTTTTGATGAATTTGATCCGATGAACCAATCATGTTTTATTAGAACTATGTTAAACAGAACTTGTCTGATTATGCAAAATCATAACGTTTGTATTTACTTGTAAAAAGCCACATTTAGTTCCCATAGAGACATCCATTGTTATATTTCCTATCACCAGTTGTGTCCTTCCAGATTTTCTAATGACTAACTTGCCAACAGATCCTTCAGAGAAATCAGATAACCTCTGAGTCTGTGTTTGTGCTTCTTCTTCCTGTTACAAAAACAAGCTTTTTATTAATATTTCACCATTTTCCAGTAACTGAATTCTAGTATCGTAAGGATATTTGTTCCTGTTTCTAAATAACAAGCTTTTTAAAAGACTATTGTAAATTGATAGTATATAAATAACTGAATTTAAAAAGCAGAACAAAATGAAAGGTTTGTGTCCTTGTTTTTGAGATATAATTAATTGAAAATATAAAGGGAAATGATTCCCTCTGGAACTTTCATTCATTTAACATTGACACCCTATTTCTTTCAAAAACTATGAAAAAAAAAAAGAATTTTATAAGATTTTCAAAAATGGCTGTTATAAAACCAGAAGTTTTTGCGGCTATTATAAGTCAAAGACGGAATACCAATACTTTAAACATTATTAGCAAGGTCTGGACAGTACCAGAAGTAAAACCTAAACTGACTTAAAAATAACATACAAAAGTATATATAAAAAACAGTATCTGTAGAAAAGGATTAATGTCCAACAGATTAACTTGTTCTTGTCAAGATATATCCTATAAAATTATGAAAAATAAGTAGGGGTAAGCTGGTAAAATATTTATTGGCAATGGATAAAACTAGAGCATTCCAATTATCTGGCAATAATTCCAATTATCTGACAATAAAATGCTCTGCAGCTTGATACAACCAAAGGGTCAAACCCTGAACAGTTGGTGCAAGTATGAACACAACATTAAAGCTTGATACAGCTCTGAATTTGGATTGTGATTAAATATTTGACAGTCAGACACAGCATAGGTTTCTGACACAGAAGGAATGTGGTCTAAGAACTAAAGATTTGAAATTTACCTATTATGGTCCAATATTCAAAATCTAATTACATGGTTAGATTAGAAGTATCAAAGAACCCCAATAATTCAATTTTTGATGAAATCAAACTAAGTTTAAATTTGGACTCTTTGGACCTCAATGTGGACCAATTTAAAAACAGGGCCCAAAATCCAAAATCTAAATACACATTTAGATTCAGCATATTAAAGAAACCCAAGAATTGCAGACTTTTAATTAAAACCCCATTGAAATTGGTCAAATAATAAGTAATCTATACAAAGTATTAGAAAAGTATCGTTTTTGGCCCCTTTTCAGTCCCTAATTCCTAAACGGTTAGAACCATATCCCCCAAAATCAATCCCAACCTTTCTATTTCAGCAAGGAACCTTGTGGTACAATTCCATAGAGATCCATAGACTTATATTCAAGTTATTGTCTGGAAACAGAAAATCCTTCTTGCTTGGTCCTGAATTCCTAAATGGTTTGGGCCATAACCCCCAATCTCAATCCCAACCTTCTTTTTCGGTATGTAACCTTGTGGTACAATTTCATAGAGATCCATACACTTTAACTTTAGCTATTGTCTGGAAACAAATGTCTTTGGACGATGACGTCAACATCGCAATATCATTCTACGTTTTTTTTGCGGTCATATAAAAAGTCCAAAACAAGAATAGCCAACATCCTTAACAGAAATGAATCAAAACTCAATTTTTTCTTTACCCAAGACCTATCAGTTACCATGTAAAAGGTTGTAGGTTAAAGGGCAAATAATTAGCAGCTGCACCCCTAAAATTTCATAACTGTTTTGTTATACTGCTGTCAATGACATTAAATAATGCACTATGATAAACCAATAAAAATTTATCAGCAAAATCACAATCACCAAATTCTATCTATTGACACACAAATAACATTGAATTAACAGTAAATAAAGTTAATTCATGATTTTACAAATGTCTACATATAAGCCTATAGAACATTTGTAATTGATTGAACATTTAAAATCGTGATTTACCGATACTCAGGAAATCCAAAAAAATGGTATCCCATGAACAATAATGAATCCACAGTACTGTTGATTCATTATAAGTCAAGGGATACCAATTTTCCTGGATTTCATGTTGTAGGTTTGTAGGCATACTTTGAAAAAATCCTAGAAATGAAATATTCATGAAAATACAGTTTTCTTAAATCCAGGAAAAAGAGTACCCACGAATATACATTAATCAACAGTAAAATAATTATATAAAGGTATAACAAATATCATTACTTTTCCTTCTTCATCTGTTTGGGCTCTATTTACTGGGTTACCTGGCATACAATCAGGAAACTGGAAAAATAACATCTCTCCTGGATCTATAAAAACAAGTTTGAAAATTATGTGTACAATCTTTACAATGTGGAACAGATTGCCTGTGTCAATTAAAAAAGGGTATGAAAATTATTTAGGTATATAGTGGCCTGGAAAAAAAATCTGTAAAAGAGAGGTGTGGAGTGAGACCTGTAAAATCATACAATAATTTCCTTTGATCTGTTAAACAAAGGTATGTCTTAAAATTCTAAGTGTAAAATTGGAAGATAATACAACAGAATACACTCTTGAAAATAATTCAACAGGTTCCCAGGATTTGAAAAAAAAATGGTATGGAATGGAATGGAATGTTAGCTGTAAAGCCGGAATATAGCTTGACCTGGCTAACTTTATTTGGTAAAGCATCGATATGGAAGGAGATAAGCAAACACTGAAAACTGATTAAACTGGATGATAGCAATGGGAGCCATCACAGAGGGCTCCACACAAGTAGACAAGTACCAGTAAATTGTGATGGATTATTTGATTTAAAAATAGCACATACCAATGGAAGGCAGAAATTTTTGAAGCACCACTGATTCATCCATAAACTCCAAGGAGTTTGAAAGTTAAGAGAGCAGAAATGATTTTTGTACATATGCACAAGGGTGACTAAGTTTTTGATCATGACCTTCAATGTTGGGTTTTCTTTCTTTTGTATTTAACAAAACTTCTAGTAACAGTGAATAATCCTGTCAAGTTTCATATTTACCCAACTCTAAGGGGTTTGAATGTTAAAGAGTGGATGTGCATGGGAACAGTTTGAAAAGAACAAAAAATAATTTTAGAAGAATAGCCAGAAACTAGTTTGGTCTCATTACTCAGGATTTTCTACCCCAGGAATAGATTACCTTAAGAAGCTGTATTTGGCAAAACCTTTTTGGAATATTGGGTCCTCAATGCTCTTCAACTTTTTACTTTATTTGGCCTTTTAAATTTGTTGATTCCAGGGTGTATGATGAGTCTTTTGTAAATGAAACTCGGGTCTGGCTTACAAAATTTTAATCCTAGTATCTATGATGAGTTTATAACCAGATGGTTTTAGAGATCTTTTTGCATTATCACAGAAGAATGACAGACACAACGAACTTAATTTAATGAATCTTCCAATTGAATAACTTGTGCTAATGACAATCTTCCATCAGAAAACATTGTACATATCAAACTTATGATTAACAAACCTGTTTTTGTAAGAGCCTCTAAAACACCATCTGTAGATTTAGTTTTTTGACTTTGATGTGCATCAATCATTTCTTCATCAGCATCTGGATCATCTAAACATTATAAACCAGTGTATTAAAGCTATTCCTCGGATATTACTTAGAGATTTTTTACTGTAAATGCAGAAATTATTGCAATTTTTGAAGAATGGACAAATCTGTGAGATTTATAATTGTGATTTCAGGAAAATCTATATACAGATATATATATCGATTCAGAATTCCTGTTCTTTTTATTGCAATACTCACCCAGTCCCATTGATGAGAACCTCACAATAATTTCTGAATTTACAGTACTTATACTGATTTGTCTTCTGTCAAAACACATCTAGTGCCAGATTTGTGTTAAAGTCATATGAAACTACAAAATTTAAAAAAAAAATGAATATGTTTTATATACCTGAATGGCTAAGTTTTACTATAAAACAAGTGTACTTGAACTTTCTTGTAAAAGAAAATAATTTATATTTTCCAAATCTTCATAAATGTGCTGCTATTGAATTAGTGTATGGGAAGACAATAATTCATTCATAAATGTACAGCTATTGATTTATTGTCTTTCCGTACACTAAATCGCCGATATTTTCCTGTATGCAGTGATCTTAACTAAAAGATCTCTCGATAGAACTTGGGCCACTGCACAGCGCAGGGGAAAAACCGTGATAACAGAATGTAAACAAGCGTGCACTGGAAGGTTAATAGTAATGACTGGTTCTTGAAAAACAAATTTAACACAACAAATCATTTAACAACTGTTAAGGAAAAGTTTAATTAACAAATGGGAATGCATGGAAAATATAAATCAAAGCATCGTTGATGTTGTGATCCAGCCATATTCATAGCTAGTCTCATATTCTTTCTGACCATACTTTTTTCTAAATTTTTTTCTCTTTTCATTTCCAATCTTACTGTAAAATTTCTGTTATTGTCCAAAGGTAGGGAATTTCGCAATATTGATGCAAATATAGATATATATACTGATCTTTCAATAATAGACTCTGTCAGATTTTATTTTTGACAAGAATGGAAAGAAAATCGTCAAACAAGTAATATATTTTTGATAAGCCATTAATAATGTCAGGTTTAATCATTTCCAGAAAGAGGCCTTATAAATGCACATTCTCAACAACAAATTAAAAAAATAAAAAGATAAAAAAAAAAAAAAAAAAAAATTCTTTATCTAAATTGGTGTTCATTCTTCATTAAGAAAAAAAATACATTTCCTGTATTCAAATCTGAATGTACATATACCTAATGCTGAGATATTTCTAATTACTGTTAAATAGCAATATAATGGGATATAAATGTAAAACAAACAAATAAATTTTATTGCAGAAAATGCTCAGGTAAGAGTTATGCAATTTTGTTTAATATTTCAACCAAATTTCTGATAATTGTAACTAATTCATTAGAACTTGATTATTGACTTATGTCAGATGATAATGGCACTGATTTAACAAGTAAAATAAAATTTGCTTGCATTTTTTATACATATTTTTTTCATTTTAAGTATTTTCTTTGAAAAAAAACCACATCAGATTAATCATTCAGCTAGCTAGCAAAATTAGCAGAATATTTTAATGTAGTGTAGATCAAAATTAATAATACATTTGTAGGTTTACTATTGAGGTCAAGAATGTGTGTATTCAGTTAGGTGTGTAATAAATTGTGTCTATTTAATTATGTAACAGGTCATGAGCTATTAACTGTTTTGAATTAAACCTGGGGTTGTTTCTAATTAATACTTATTTGAAAATCATGACAGTTAATAATCATTCTGACTCTTACTTGCCTATGGAAAGAATTGGAGTAATACCATTTCAAAAAAGTGTGGGAATCAACTTAGATATATTAATACACATGTTGGCCTACATTTCATTGAACAATAATTTACAAAAGCACAAGATACTAATATAATACTTTCAAAATTCTTATCAACTGAATCAATTGATGTACAAATACTTTTTCAAATTAATTCATAAATAGTAAATCACCATAAATTTTGATTTAGAAAGGAACTATATGCAAGTGTATATCTAAAATAAAGTCACTATTCGACCAATCTTTTCTTAATTTAAGGGCAAATAACATGTCAAAAGTTTGCAGTTGGTGATTAAAATGGTGTAGAAAGTTTCTGCAAGTCATAAAAACACATAATTAGTTTCATGATATGTCTTCAACTTAGTATTCTGCACCATCTCCAAAACCAGAGTGATCGCATAGATCCAGCATGGCTGAATCAAAAAAATATCATGGCTCTTCCAATTCACTTATTTGTCATGTTCTCCACATGCTCTGTGTTGATTGTTTATCAATGTCACGATCCGGTATACCTCGGCAACAAACTGGAAAGTTAATTAGCTTGCAATCAACAATCAACGAATGAAATATTATTTGTTGATAATATGTTATAGGTTCGTAATAAATATAAAAAGCGTCCATACAGGACTTAGTTTAGTATATATCATGCATTGGTAAAATAATTTCGATAACATTAAAATTGCAAGAAACTCGTTTCATGAGACTTTAAAAAGGAAAAAAAACTTAATATTACACATGTACATATGTAAATTTATGTATATCTATTTCTTGTTTACCAGGATAATTTCACACTATGTGATATTCATTATGTTATAAACTTATCTACAGTTGTACTATTCTTATTCATAATATTTTAATTCAAAATTAATATTACAAAAAATTCAATACTGTAAATTCAGAAATTAGCACATGCATTTATTATTGTGAATCCTTGAACATTGGCACAAATGCAAAATCTGATTAATGTGATTGCAAAAATTTTATGAAGGAAAATCACTTTTGAAATTATGAAAGTGAGTTTTTATTACTACAAACCTGATACTGTCACATTTTTCGCATTAATAAAAACATCACTATAGTTCAAGTTTACCCTGACAGATAGACATGTGCACCTTTCAATCATTCTGATAGTTTACCTATTAATCATTATGAAGAAATAATTATAGAAAATAAAGGTATCAACACCAACCGAAATAATAAACAATTTGGTATAACATGGGTGTTGATGTCTTTATTATCCAAAATTTTATGTACCTGTAGAAGGACAACTATTGAATACTGATAGGTATCCACCTTAACTTTACCGCTACCACACGTCGACCAGGGTGTTGGTTCACTATACCCATTAAAGAAATAATTGATTGATGGCTGCTAATTGTCAAGTGGCATAACAGGCATACTCAGCATCATTATTACATGTTTTAAAATGTAATATAAAGATTTGCACTAGGTTGACAACCTTCTAGATTGTAATGTGATAGCTCATAAGGTAACATTCTGGAGAAAGATAGGTCACAATCATGGCTACAAACTACACATGGATTCTGATTAACAAAGTATTTGAAAGTAAACCTTATATACTGACCTTTAACCTCAACAGGTTTCTCCTCAAGTTTCAGGTTTAATTTAGATAGTGGTAAATGGACAGGTTCCATATATTTATCTCTTTTCTCCTTAGAATCTATAAACTACAACATTCAAAATTTAAAATATATAAAATATTGATTTTATAACACACAATTTTCTGAAAACACCCTTTTATATCAAAATTTTGTCTTAAAAACTTATTACATGTTAGTTTTATGTTTGTTTTAAATTTTCGAGTTTTTCTTATTGTGTACTGGTATTCTGGTTCATCAAATTTCTTTGATAAATATTCTGGTAAAGAAGAGTGCAGTTAGATTTGAATTTCTGAGCTCTACTAACAATTTTCTAGTTTACTTTCTATGTCAGAATCATAAATTTACTGTAGATTCATTACAATTTGATGGGGACTAATTGTATACCACATAATCAAGTATCCACGAAAATACAATTTTTTGTCAATCAATGAAAATTGATGAATCAACAGTAGATATTTGTTTGAAATGCTTACTGTATAAATTGGTAATACAAAGCTATCCCATAGAATTTTGATAAGATTTGTTCTGAATAAGAAAGATACCTAAGGTTTATACTGTAGTTAAGTGTCAGAGGTTATCTGGGTATTCCAGGTACAAACTTACATCAAAAGAATCAATTCTTATATATTAATTGCAATTACCTGTAGATTAATAATACTGTAGATTAATTAATTTTCATGGGTACCAGTTTTCGTAGATTGAAGTCTAATTGTATTTTCATGGATACTTGATTTAGTAGTTTTGTCAAATTCTGCGTACTAGGATTAAAGAACTTAGTAATTTGCTGAAAACTTGAAATCACAAAATCAATGAAAATTAGTACCCCAAAAATAATAATAAATCCACAGTACTTTTTAAAGGTTTCCTTCAAATCTAGTCACTGATTCATGAGGAGTGCAGACAATCGAACAGAAACAAAGATCACCATTTACTGCTATTTTAGAAGGTAGGGATAGAACAAGGAAGTTTGATTGTGGCAACAAGATGTTGACTACAATGATAAGAATTGCTTGAACAATATATGCTATTAAACAATAATTGACTTTTGATGTGTTGATACAATGATAATCAACCCTAGAGATGTGATATTCACCGAGGTCAATATGTGTTTAGCTATATTTTCATTTGGTACTGGTTTTTCTTTTATTTTTGTTTAAAATACAACAGCTATGACTGCATATGCTATCCATGACAGTGTTCAACAATGCATAGAAAAAATGAAGAAAAAGCTTGATATAACTCTTAATTGCATGGTGGCATTAAAATATAATTATAAGAAATAAATGCTTCTTTTTATAGTTTTATAGGGTTGTAAATGCCTCGATAGTATGCACATTTTTAGTATGAAGTGCAGAACATTTCCTGATTGTAAAATATATCCATTTTACCACTGGTTCATTTTACCATTCTGTGATGAAACTTGTATATGGTTGTGCCTGACCAAAGTGCACATTCAACTTTTTCTGCCATATTGAAACGCTTTATATGACTCAATTGGTTGATATTTACTCCGTCATCAATAAAAAACATTTTGTTTATACATCCCTTAAAAATCCTTTTAAAAAATTTCCTTTTACTAAACTTAGGTACACATTACCTGTTATATTATATTACCGTCTTTAGGTGTGTATAGTACGTCGGCCATGAACCCAGGTGGTCAGGAAGAAAATATTTTCGTAGCAAAACAAATTGATTGTTGTTATGTTTAAAATGTATATTTGTACCTTCTAGTATATGATTTGTAATGTTATATGCAAATAAAAATCATTTAAATGCTTTAGTAGTTATGTTTTTTGCGTTTTCTTGTGTCTGTTCTGTGTTGCTGCCCGGAAGTTGTATTTGGTCATATCCGAATTAGAGATGATTCTGTTAATGGCCAAATAAGTGTAGGTGATTCTCGAGTTTATTACTTACTTTTGGTATGTTCTAACAAGTATGAATGTATGAAAATTGAATGAAACACGCCCGTTTGATGATAGTGACCGCTATTGTTTTTTACTTTCGTAGTATCAGTTGATCACATGTCATATGACTTTACTGAACATTATGAAGTTGAATAAAGTGATGATTTTATAAGTTTTTACTTTGTGACATTTTAAAATCCTCTATAAAAACCTTCATACAAATCATAAATTGTAAGCATGTTTTCAAAATGCCATTTTAATACCTGTACTAATTTGATTGAGGAACAAAGTGAACCTGTCAATTGATTTGTTTTGACAACTATTAGACTTCCTAATTGATTATCAATAAGAGTGTGATAATCCAGAATTAACGATTCAATGAATACCCACAAACAATAAATGAAATTAGCAGAGATTAATATTTATTTTAGCACTAATTTATCAACATAAATATTAGTTTTATTTATTTATTTTGTATTAAGGAATATTCGTAATGAATCCGTATTCCATACAAGATTCACAGACTACAATTTGCATTTAAACAACTTCCTGATTTTACACTTCCTGTTGTTCTCAATCAAACACATCCGTGGAAACAATAAAGAATCAAACATTGTTTGCTAAGTTATTTATTCTGCATTATCCTGTAATCAACCAGGACTGGAGTTCAATTTGTCCGGAAAAAGAAATCACTTTCAATGGACGCATTTTACCGAGTTTCCAGTTGGGATTTTTCCAGAAAGTCCCTACATCTAAAGCATTAGAAGAAACTTTTTTTCTCAAGTTTCAAGGGTGAAAAGGGGGGTGCGTATTATGCATGGGTGCGTTTTATACACACCAAAAGACGGTAATCTTATATTAAACTCTCAAGATTTTTATCTGAGGTGATTTTAATGTTTTACAAAATATTCCCTATGCTCTAACCAATAGGAAAACAAAATTTTATAGTCATATAATAAAACCTGTTACCACTTACATCATCCCGGAGTAAAAAATCCAGAACTTGTTTAGTATCCTCTTGTACTTCTGACTTTGATATAGTCTGACCACTTGAAGACTTTGTATTGAATCTACCTCCTACTGAACCTTCACCTCTGTTTGCTCCTGATGCTAAAGAGAAAAATCTCATCTTAAAATTTTAGTCAAGAATTATTAGCTATAACGCACTCTGATTATAATTTTGTTTTAATTCATTTGCATGTAATAATCATGTTTGGTGTACATTCAAATTTTTTTGTTTTAATTAATTGCATAGATTTATTTGGTTTAATTCTGTATCAGCTCTAATCTGTAAATTGAGTCATTCTTTGTTCATTTTATCTAATTGAACCCCACAATGGCAATAGTAGCAAACCATAAGTCAGATATTTATTCATTTACTTCTAAAATATTTCAGAAACACGTGTCATGCACACTGACATCATAGAATTTGTTTTTTTTATTAAAAGACTGGACCATTATATTTGTATTAGAACTTACCTTTGGATACATTTTTAGTAGAAGGTCCATGTTCCTCAAATATAGAGTGTGTATGAATAATATTTTGACCTTTATATTTCCTTTGAGAATTGTCAAAACTCTTCTCTTTGACAGGTCTCCCCTTTTTCTCTTTGTCAACTTTTGGTTTAACATCACCTTGGTCTTGCCTATAACATTAACATACAACATCCATAAACAAATGTTAAAGTAATTGTTCATACAATGACAAAGTTAATTGTGACAAATTATTCACGTTAGGACATTTGAACATGGAAAATATATTTTTTAGGGGATCTACAAACCGATATGTTTTTTAATTTATAGTTTGAAGCATGACCAAAATCTGTACAAATTTACTCCTGTACAAGATCATACTTTCCTGCACTGCTTATATCATTGCTGTATAAAATCTGCTCTAGATTACATCCGTCAATATTAAAGTGTAGGAAAGCATGATTTCATACCAGCAATTCTAATTCTTTGCGTTTGCTTGGAGTTGCCATATGGTATTAAATGAATTTATTATTGTTTTCATTGTTCCTATTTTAACTGGTATTATAGAGTTTAGTGTTTTAACTGAACTGATTTTTCTTGTAGATTGTTCTGTATCTTTTATTATGCCATTGATTAAACTAAAAGCTGGAATGTTAAAATCTAAGTTAACACTTAATATATGTGTGCCTGTCCATGTCATTGGTTGTTTTTTAGTTATATATCATTTTTTTATTGTCTTTTAAGGAATTTACTGATTTTCAGCTTGCCATATTGTATAGACACCTGTCTATTTAAGATCATATGTTGACATCCAGATGTCTTTCCGTTTTTATTGTGATTTAGTTGCTGCTTAACTGACGTCTCCTTTTATAAATATATTTACTACTCGTATATGTACACACTTAACAATTACCCTAAGTCGGAGAGCAACAATTGAAATAAACGAACAATTGTTTTACCTACTACATTATATTATACACCATACAGTTTTCTGTTTAATCATGAGGTTACAAATGCATGTTATCCTTTCATAAAAATGTAGGACTCATACAATTAGTAATTATAAGGTAAACATGATACATACATCACATTCGATCCTTTCTTTAATTAACTTGCCATTATTTCTCTTTTGTTAACAAATACATTGGAAACACTTGAAAGTATCTGATATAACATTAAATTACTGAAAATTCAGAAAATTTTATGATGTTATAAATACTGCAAAAAAAAGCAAAGGGAGGGTTTTTGAAAGAAAGAAAACAATTATAATATAAATTTTGATGGCATGATTTGTATGCAGCATCTCCAGGAAGCTCAATAATTAATCTTCCATTCTTGTCATTTGTTCAACAATCTTAATTATAAATGAATGCAAACATTTCTGAGCATACAGTATTCACTATGGATTCACAAATGTAAAGTTTAACTGTTAATCTTTACTTGGACTGATCAGTTTCTCTCTTTACTTTCTTATCCTTTTGCTCAGCTGGTTTCCGTACTGGGATTGTGGGTGTAAATACTTTCTTAGGAATTCCTCCAAGAGTCAAGTCTCTAGGTCCCTTTAAAGAGGGTAATCTGTAATTGAAACAAAAACAAACACTTCACTATGGAAGCTCAAATGGTTATCAGCGATATCAATATATAGTTTTATACATGTAAACAAACCAAAGGATAGCCAAGAACTAATTAATAGGTCTATCTAAAACTGTTGTTGTAAAAAATTATTGGAGATTCATGATGCAGATTTATTTTTTAAAGTGTGAAAACAAGCTTTAACCCCTAATTACTGTGTCCTGCAGCTAATATTTTACATGTATACTTACAGAAATTCTGAAAATCAAATTATCAGATTATAGTATAGTACCTAATTAACTTAATATAAATTGAACAGCTCACATTGCAATTGGCCATGTGTGTTGTTTTGGTGTGCAGTTTATATAAGTCATATGAAAACTTACTAAAAAATGATTAAACTGAATAAAATAATTATCTTAAATACTGTTTGGTACCAACTTTGAGAAAAGCTTCTGTATAAGAATAGTGTTATGATGATAATATAAACTCTCTTACAAACTCTTTATAAAAAGATAAATAATACCTTGCTCCTTTTCCTAATGGAGTTCCTCTTCTATCAATCAAACCTCTTGGAAGATCTGGTGTATCTCTGCCTTCAGCCATAACTCAGCTGTAAAAAAAAAAGGAAACTAGTTTTATAGTTTTGACTGGTACAACCTTTATAGGCTCATGGTTTATCTTAAAAAGGAAAAAAAAAATGGTTTATCATAAAAAGGAAAAAAAAAATGGTTTATCTTAAAAAGGAAAACAAAAAATTCAAAAAAGATATCTTCATTTGTGAATGTAAGTTCAATTATGTAACTAAAATTAAATAGATAGCGAAGATGGATAAAGGTATGTTTTTTGGTCTGCTAGCACATGCCAATCACCTGTGTAGATTCAACTATTTATGGCTTCTATTTCCTTTAATAACTAAACAATTTAAATGTAACTGATAGACTTTAATGGCTGATTTAACTGATTCCCCCAAAATAGCATCTATCTTTTGATCATCGGGTCAATTGTCTTCATGACTCTCCAGGGACAATTGAAAATGATTACCATAAACTCAAATAAAGTGATAGTTTCATATTTTAATCTTAAAAAATAATAAAATAGTGATAAAAATAAATTTACCTGGTGTTCAATAACTATTCAAAACAAAATTAATAGTTTTGTAGTTTCTTCAAAGTTAAACAGTATTACTTTTGGTTGTAAAGTAAATAAACATCTATATTCTGTTATAATGTATGCTTTTAAAGTCATGAAAGTTAGGAAGGCTTATCAAATGGTCTTTTGATGATGAGAGAGAAAACCTTAATTTAAACAGCTTGATTTCACATGTATGAACTGACTTCAGATCTCAGATCTGTACTTAGTGTCCTTTTTGTTGTTTTTTGGGATGGAGGGATGGATAAATACCCTGCCACGTCCTGTCTGTATTTTTGTTTGTTTTTCTGCTTTGTATCGATCTGATGCGTTAAGCCTGTTTCAACTGATTTTTATAGTTTGTTCTTACGTTGTGCTGTTACACCATTGATCTAGGTTAGGGGGAGTGTTGAGCGCCCACAAAAATGTTTAATCTGCCACATTCTTTATGTGCCTGTCCCAAGTCAGGAGCCTGTAGTTCAGTGGTTGTCGTTGGTTCATGTCTGTCATATTTGTTTTTCATAAATTGTTTTGTTATAAATTAGGCCGTTTGTTTTCTCAATTGAAATATTTCATATTTTTCATTGGCCTTTTATAGGTGACTATACAGTATGGGTTTTTCTCATTGTTGAAGGCCATATGGTTGCCTATAATTGCTTACATCCACTTTATTTGAACTTTGTTGGATAGTTGTCTCATTGGCAATCATACCACATCTCCTTATTTTTATATTCATACATGTATCATGCAAATGAATTCAAAGGAACAACAAAATGTGATGCACATATATCTTTAACATAGCTGTCTGGATTGAGCGGATGCACAATTTTTACAGATTCAGAACTTGATTTTTTTTAGTTCATTTCAGTGGGCTGTAATCATGGTAATTAACTAAAACACACATATATTTCCTTCTTGTCACTGATTTAACTTGTTAAATGGTCTAACAAGGACATACATTGATTCAAGATAAAAATAATCAGAAATTCTATGTGTTATGTAAAGGTATCATAAGTCTGTTCCTTCAACTGAATATTAATTGACCTACCAGACAAAACAAAATTATCAGACTTGAGGGTATACCTTTCTACATTTATTTCCATATGTAGACATGATATAGACAACAATAATAATCATAAAATGTTTAGGGAGAAACATTGTCTATAACAACAAACTGGTGACCATAAAAGTCAAAAATATAAATGCATGTGTTAAGAATTGTGCCTACCACTTTAATGGCCCCTATATGGTCAATTACAACCTGCTACCTTGGGCCACCTTGTGACCTGATTTCTCATTTAAAATGACTTGTGATCTTTAAAAATGTTTGAAACCGACAACCGACAATCTTAAATTTGCTAAAAAATAACCTGGTGACCTAAGGCAATTTTAAATGCGATATTGTGACCTAGGTACATGAGGTAAGGAGGGTACACTACTGGAACAGTCTGACAGCTTCAAACAATAAAAAAATTGTTTTGATGCACATACCCCTTTTTACAGGAGCAGTAATGTTTCGTGCACTTAAAAGTTAAAAAACTGAAAGTGATTAAAGGTATAAGACTAAAGAGTAGAAAATTTGCAAAAATAATAACTTCTATCATTGGGCTATTCCAGAAATATTCTGTCCCCCCCCTATGGAAGACATAAGATGTAAAAAAAAAAAATCCATGGAAATATTTTTCACCATTACCAAAATTTTCTGGAATTCCAGATTTAAAACGCATTTTAAAACTTAAATATACTGGATTTTTTTTCATGATGCTGTCAATTTGTCTGGAAATTTTAGTGTAAAGATTAGAAGCAATACCTATGGAAGACATCGATATTATTTCTTTTGTCTGGAATTTATCTGTGTTTTTCTAAATGTGCCAAAAAAACTGGAATTTTATACTTAGTATGTAACATATATGCAGCCATAACCAAAAGAAGTGTGTTTAAAAGTTAAGCGCAAACAAATCCCTGACTAGAAGAACTGTTAGCCAATATGTTTACCAGTGTATATAAAGTCTTGTCATTGCAGACAAATACACCACTATCCCAGGAGAATTTGGATCCAGCACATACGTTTTTTTTTAACCTCGCTGCATATATTTTCTATATATATATACATGTATATATCTGTCCCAAGTCAGAAGCCTGTAATTTAAGTGGTTGTCACTTATTACTTTATTTCATATTTGTTTTTCATTTATTGTTTTGTATATCAATTTGGCCATTAGTTTTTCTCGTCTGTATTGTTTCACACTGGTCATTTTCAGGCCCATTCTAGCTTACTATGCTGTGTGAGCCTAGGCTCCATGTTGAAGGCTATACTTATAGGTTTCATATAACAAGTGAGAATTGAAATTATATCGCTTGATTTCAACTGGAGTTATTTAATTTCAATATAATAATAAACTAGCCTGTGGCGAGTTTATTATTAGTAATTAAATTAAATCACAAGAGTTGATATCAAGCGATATCCAATTTTCTCAAGTTGTTAAACCTATTTCTCTTATGGTCAACACTCTCAAAGTGTAAAATTAAAAATATGTAGTTTTACATTATTACAAATTTTTAATGTTAATTAGGTGAAAATGTCTAAACAATGGGATTAAAAGCACAAACAGCAAGTTAATAGCTGGTAAGAATGCAAATGGGAAAATTAATAGAGAGATAATTGATTTGACCACTATTGGATACATTTACAACTGTTGTTATTACCACATCAAAAGATTCTGACATCTGATTTGTTTCAGACACTTGTGATATAAATAGGCAAGTTGAAAACTTGACCTTCATCTAAATTTCCAGATTTTATCATATATAATGAAGCTTGAAATAGTGACCATGGTGACCTTTTTAGCAGCTCATCCCTACCACTAAAAAAATAGTAATTGAAATTGGATTTCCTGTTTGAAAATGCAAATTATTGCTAAAGTTCACTTATGAATGCAATAATCATTCCATAAATCTTCAAAGATGAACCCTTCGAAAAATACTGGTGTTTTAGATATGAAATGCTTTTGAGAGAAAACTGAAAAATTCCAATATCTTCATAAAAACTCAAACCACCCAATTTTTAAAGAAAAAGAACAAAGTTGAAAATAGATGTAATGTATCATTCATTACATATTATCATTCTCAAGCAGAAAAACTTCAAAAAGTATTCAGGAAATACTGGCATCTTTTTAAAACAGATTCTACAATAGATGCCAGATCCCACAAAAACCTATCAATAGGATTCAAAAGAAATAGAACATTGGTGAATTAGTGAAATGAGCTATAAAATTATTTGTATGAACATCACAGTTCCTATAAAATATTTCACTGTGCAGAACTAATTAATGACCATCATCATGTAAACCACACAAGTAAACTGATATTCTTAGGACAAAATTCTTACCATGAAACACTTAATTCAACATTAAATTCTATTGAAATAGGTTGAAATAGTTAGAAAATCAAAAAATCAAAATTCAAATTTAAATTAACAAATCAAAAAACTATAATTATTATTATTATTATTATACAGTATTTATAACAGCGATTTATATAATATTAAAATTACCCTAATCGCTTTACAACATATATCCATTCACATATATAAGTATTAACAATAAAATATGAAAGCCCATGTTATAAAATCCTAAAACAAACAGATTTTGAAAATATTGCATATAAAACTATACTATGAAATTTACTGATAAACAATAAAATTTATATACAATGGGCATGGTAAAATTACCATGATAATAAATAAAAAAAGATATTAAATTTTTTTTAATAACTTTAAACAGTAATAAAAAAGAAATAAATGAAAAACAAAAGGGGTGGTCTCTGATGAAGGTTTCCCTTTAATTATAAATACAATTCCGGAAAAAACCAAAACATTGCTACATAGCACAGTATCCATGAAAGGCCAGAGATATGATTTGCACCAAAATGTGTGGATATTGGATCAAATTCTATGAAATTATCCCTAATTGTGTCTTTTTGAATTAAAATGTTGCTTATTAGATTAGTGCTAGCTCTATAAGGCAGAGACCCCCCCCCCCCCCCCCTCCCCTAAATACACGTCTGCATATGACCGTGTTTATCTCTTCAATTTAAATTGTTGCAAGATATGTTTTTATCTTTATTTTATTTATATATAAAAATTAATCAAAATTTGTTCAGGGTTCTATTTCTTGTTCTTGATTTACAAGAATGCTTCTGTCTAAGTTTTGTAAAATTCCACAAAGGTTTGACAAAAGTTATTCAAAATCTTTCACTTACCTAAATGTTGACTGTAATAATATTTATTAGTAAATTATGGAAGAATGGGTGGAAAATTCAAAATTTTACTCTACATGTCGGGTATTTATCAAGTATGAAGAAACTAATCATCAGTAATATACAGAAGACATAACAAAAAAAAACCAACTATTTTTTTCTTAACCGCAATGTTTTTGTCAAGAAGAAACTTCTGTCCTTGTTCTTGAAATTCTATAGTTATTGATGTCTTAATACTTTAACCCAATACTATATCTAAATAATAACTTCAAAAATGCCATTTATCTGTAAAATATAAAAAATGAAACAAATATTTTAAAATTTTACTCTTGATCTTGAAGAAGCTATTTATATCATTCCAGGGGCCTTAGTGCCCAAGAGGTCTTAGTATTCTAACTGCTGTATATTTAGCCTGTCAACTATGAGGTTTTGAATCCCGCACATGGCAGGTGCCCTCAACTCCAATCATTATTGACTATGATTGTTAGTTTTCCTACCGAATGTCATGGTTCCGCCTAAAATGGAAGTGGCCCCATTTGTGTTCAGTCTCAATATTTAGATGTATGTTGTATTTGATGATAATACATAACATATATAAAGGGTTGAGAATGAACAGGAATGCGGCCACTTTCATTTTTAACAAAAAAACATCTGAAAAGTGACACTTTATGGCATATTTGATCGATTTTTGTCGAGCCTTCGACTTTAGTCGAAAATGCGAGACATAGCGATCCTACATTCCGTCGGCGTCGTCGTCGTTGGCAGCGTCCACAAATATTCACTCTGTGGTTAAAGTTTTTGAAATTTTAATAACTTTCTTAAACTATCCTTGATTTCTACCAAACTTGGACAGAAGCTTGTTTATGATCATAAGATAGTATCCAGAAGTATATTTTGTAAAAATAAAATTCCATTTTTTCCGTATTTTACTTATAAATGGACTTAGTTTTTCTGCCGGGAAATATTACATTCACTCTGTGGTTAAAGTTTTAAATTTTTAATAACTTTTAAACTATCCTGGGTTTGTACCAAACTTGGACAGAAGCTTGTTTATGATCATAAGATAATATCCAGAAGTAAATTTTGTAAAAAAATAAATCCATTTTTTCCTTATTTTACTTTTAAATGGACTAAGATTTTCTGCCAGGAAACAACACATTCACTCTGTGGTTAAAGTTTTTAAAATTTTAATAACTTTCTTATACTATTTTGGATTTGTACCAAACTTGGACAGAAGCTTGTTTATGATCATAAGATAGTATCCAGAAGTAAATTTTGTAAAAAAATAAATCCATTTTTTCCTTATTTTACTTTTAAATGGACTAAGATTTTCTGCCAGGAAACAACACATTCACTCTGTGGTTAAAGTTTTTAAAATTTTAATAACTTTCTTATACTATTTTGGATTTGTACCAAACTTGGACAGAAGCTTGTTTATGATCAAAAGCTAGTATCTAGAAGGAAATTTTGTAAAAAAAATAAATCCATTTTTTCCATTTTTTACTTTTAAATGGACTTAGATTTTCTGCCAGGAAACAACACATTCACTCTGTGGTTCAAGTTTTTAAAATTTTAATAACTTTCTTATACTATTTTGGATTTGTACCAATCTTGGACAGAAGCTTTTTAATGATCAAATGGTAGTATCTAGAAGGAAATTTTGTTTTCTTCCAGTTAACATTACATTCAGTCTGCAGTTAAAGTTTTTAAACATTTATTAGATTCATAAACTATCCTGGATTTTTACCAAACTTGGACAGAAGCTTCTTACAATCAAAAGATAGTATCAAGAGGAATATTTTTATTGATTTACTTCCTCGTTTTTGTTGAGTCTGTGATTAACAGAAAAAGTAGGCGAGACACTGGGTTCCACGGAACCCTACAGAATTTTTCATATATAAGCTTGAATTTTGCCGTCTTTAATGACTTAATCAGTTGAAATCTTTCACATCAACTAATTGAATCGACTGAAGAAGACACTTATGTGTTTAAAAAGTGCCCAAAATCTTTCATCAGATGTACGTGAAATTTGAGGCCAAAATTGGCCCTAACTGGACCTACTCCTTTAAATGTTGATGACACTAGAGAGAAGGATAGCAATGTCTAGCTTGGGGAACTCTAGTTGCAGGCTTGACAAATAGTAAATTGTAAAAACAGGATGACTTAAGAATGTCAGTTTTTTTGTGTAATGAATTTTTATAAACTTTTTAAATTTCAAAACTCATATCAAATTTTAGACATCATTGTTAAGAGAATACATTTTCAGATTATTCAATTGGTACAGGTAGGAGAGCATTGCATTCAATATCCTCTAAAGTTTCATTCCAGTACACAATAAAAATATTTTTGAAAATAGGTTAATTCTTCAAACATCAGTCATTTCTTATTTTTTTATTTTTCTTATCTTAGTAAGTTATATGCTTTCATATGAAAATAAAACACTAAACACAAATAATCAATTTATAAAAGTTCACATTGCCTTGCATTAATTTAAAAAAAAGGGGGGATCTTCTGTGTGTAAATTGAAAAGTCAGTAGACAGTTTGCATTTGATTCTGATTGCAATCTATTTATGTGTAACAGTATTTTGCAATCCATAGTAGAGTCATAGTACACAGCTGGTCATTTCTGGTCATTCATCTACAATATTGTGGTAATTAGACAATTTCCTGCTGTGAAGACAAACAAGTGTGTTTGAATAAAGGATGTATCAATTAGCTGTTTATTGGTAAATGTTCTGGCTATTTAGAAGTAACCCAAAATTTCATTCTAAAATTTAGGAGATGTCAAATTGCACAATTTATTGGTGTTAATTAATGGTGAAAAATACAGATTAAATTCTAAATATATAATTAGGTTGAAATTATCATCTACTTGATTACATCATAAGTCTGAAACTAATCAGATGTCAGTATTTATTTTTGATGTGTTTAAAAAGGTCATTAAGGCATCAAATATTTGTCAAACCAAATTTTCTTTGTTTTTATCTTCCCATGTGATATAATTTTCCACTGAGTGATGCTAATCATAGATGCTATTAATCCAATCATTTTGAAATTTGCACCTGATTAACATTCAACAGTTTTGTATACATGAAACAATTCAAGATAAAAATCGTAAGTTGCACATCTGTAAATAAAGACAATGCAATTTCCCATAGGAACCCCCTTTACAGCTCAAACTGTGCCACTTTCACTATGAAGTTTTGTAACAAAAATTATATCCTAGAATGGAAAGTTGTTAATATGCACAACTATTTTATTCAAAAGTCTAACCATAGGGATCTGCGGCATATTTTCAACATTTACATGTCCAGAACTTCTAAGAGTTTGAACTTATACTTATAAAGTTCACTACTGCTCCCCCCTTTCCCTTCATTTTGGGTCTTCCTCAGAATTCAAGTTGGCTGCTACCTATAAATATCTACCTATACTGGTAACATTCCCAAGTTATATCTCTATGTCAGAGATAAAACATATAGATCATATCTAGGAACGAGTACATATACAAAACAAAATATCTATGAATATGATATACAAATGTATCCCCCAAAAGAGGCAGTCTGTGAAACAGCTGTTTTTACAAAGTGCAACCTACAAAATGAAATTCCATAGTATCAATATCTTTTATTCTCTAAACTACTAATGCTGTATCAGACTTTTGTCCCCCTCCCAAGAAATGTACATATACATAGGGAATAAATCAGAACTCTTGTGTTTTAAACCTGGAAATTATGGGTCACAAAATATTTCTGTTCTGGAAAATCTTAATGACTACCAGTAAAAATTATATGGAAATTATTCGTCCCTTTTGAAAATACATGGAATTTCATGTGCACTAACAGACAAAAAGTTTGGAATTTTTTGGTCCAGACAGAAAATTTGTTTGGAATTTTAGAAAAAATCAAGAAAAAAAATCTGGAATTCCAATGTCTTCCATAGGGGGGGGGACAGACTATTTCTGGAATAGCCCATTGCAAATTAATTGACAATGAATGACCCATTATCGAATTTTCACTGCTCACAACAAATACTGTTCTCAGATTAGATGTATCTGTTTACCTAAAACTTTCAATTGGTATCGAATAGTTATGATTTAGACACAAAGAATTATCGAAATCCAGGTGCAATCCGTGGAGGATATTTATTGGGACGGGAAAGGAAACGACAGTTTCTGCTTCATGAATATGTACAGTTTGTTTGTGACATATAGAGTACTCCGTTTTCAAATAACAAGTCTTTTTTAAAATTAATCTTTTCATTATAAATTCTGATGTAACAATAGGACCGTTAACTAACAATTGTAAGTATAATTTAAATTTAAGACTAATTAAATTCTTAATACTTATTTGTAAATATATCCAGTTCTTACTTAACTTTTTCTTACACCTCAGCACATTATGATTATTATTTTTAAATTTTATAGTTTAAATTCTGTAATGACAATCCTATGAATTAATAATAATATTAATTATTTATTAATTTTTATTGCCAGTCAACTGTACATAATTTTATATGTTTCCTTATGTTTTAAGGTGTATGTAGTTGCTACAATTATACCCTATGGGTAGTGCTCCACAATTAATGGAGGAACATACAAGAAACTGAACTGAACTGAACTTTCAGTCATTCGGAGACAGGACTACCCCTTTTAAAAACTTTCCGTTTTCTTTTACATGAGTAACAATAATCTCAGGTACATACAAGAAAAACAAATCTTTGAAGGCAGAGACTATAAAAATACATCAGAAGCTTATTCTAGTTATTTTATTAATCTCTATGGGCATTTTTTTTGTTACACACCCCTTTACTTTGTCATACTGTTTTTACCCATATGTAAGGGTCTGGATAAGGTTTACAGAATAGAGAATAATGAGCAAAAAGTGCAGGATAATGGACAAAAAATATAAAGAAAAGAGAAAAATTGGTAAAAAGAATATAGAGTAGAGAATAATGAGGTGCTAGAATATAAAGAATAGAAAATAATGGGCAAAAAATATAAAGAATAGAGAGAGAAATTACCTAAAAAAATTTAAAAATACAGAAACAAAAAAACTCCCATCTAGACATAGGCACTTCTCTTAAAAAAATACCTATATATAGTTTAATATTAAGGTAGATTTGGGGGGGGGGGGGGTCTAGATTAATATCCATAGATTTTTTTATAATTTGCCAAAATGTAGTTTTTTTTCAAAAATATAATAAAACATATCGGTCATCAGGCTTCTTTTCAAGCTACAGGTTGTGCATAATTGTCAGATTTTGTATAGATTAAGCAATAAACTCCTACTTTGTGTGATAAAATGAAAACTAAACAATAGAAATTAAAGATAAAATATGAGAAGATAGCTCTTAAAATGTGCTTTCAGAAAATAAAAATAAAAATTTGGGTCACCAGACTCATTTTCTTGCTACAAAACAAAATTGGTGAATTCATAACACATTCCTTTGAAAAAGTAACTTCTTTTTTATCAGAGTTATCTTCACTCAAGTTTTAAAAAAATTTAATCAAACAAGAAATAGTATGTATTTGTTAGAAACAGTCGTAGAAATGTTATAAAACACATAATTTTCTTCAAATAGTTGAAAAGGTTACAAATGAATTACATCCTTCTCTCATTATTTGCCTATTTCATTAAAGATCTAGACCAATTGTTTTCTACTTTTTTACAATCCATGATGGCAGAAGACACCCGATATGTATGTATGCAAAGTATTAACTCTTGATTTCTATGTGGGCATGTTTTAATATGTATTCTTTATGTCTTATGTCTCAGCACAAGTATGTTTGTTTGATGAAAACATGAAAGACCGCTAGAATATCCATATTTGGTTTAAAAATAAAATATGTAATCAAAGACCCTTATATGTCTCTATGAAATAGTCTTGACAAAAACAAATGGAAATATTTGGTTAATCAAAAAGTCAACAAGTACTGGACTGGTTCGTTTCAATAGAAGATATTAATGTTCAGCTCTTTGCAATGTCTTAGAACAATATATTGCAAAGGCAGATGTCTCAAAAACTTTAAAACTTATTCAGCTAGCATATAAGATGTACATTCCAAGAATATCAGTGTTCCGGGGGGCAGCTCCAGGTTTGAAGTAAAGGGTGTGTAATTGGCTGTAATGGTATTAATATCGCATTATATTTGTAAAAAAAAAAAATGATTTTATGCGAAAACAAATACTTTTTCCCAGATCAAAAGGGAATGCCCTCTATGCCCCCCAATAAGCATGCTACTGATAACAATTACATAATTTAACAGGAAATTATCTTTCTAAATAAATTCAGTATACTTTAGCGAGCTAGATAGGAATTATGTTATACATGCATCAACAAAATTGGTTGATACGTACTAGGCTATTTTATGTAGTGATATTCTTATGTTCTTATATCAGGCATTGATATTAGGCATTAGAACCTCTATGTAGATGTTTATGCATCATCCAAGGAGATATCAATCTGATTAAATATGGATTTTGGGGGAATTGCTTCTTTTCTCAGGGCAAATATTTTTTTTTAACTTTTATATACAAGGTAATCAAAAACAAACAATTTTTTTCATAACAAAACATACAGAAACAAGACATTTTCTTTTTTTTCTTAATTCCCAAAGGAAACAAACCATTTTGTTCAATATATTTTTTCAAGAAATTTAGAACAAACTGTTAACACAGTGATATGAGTCACCTTTTTGTTCTTTTGATAGTAATATGCCAATGTTGAAATTCAAATAGCAATATTTAACGTAAGTTATGCAAAATATAGTCATTGAACCATGACTGAAGGCACAAGGCAAAACAAATCAATGGAAATGAGATGTGCCAATGCTAATACATATATGCAAACCTAATACCATTGACCTACCACTAGTGGTTCCCCATAAACAGACCTACATGTAAACTTAGCAAAAGTTTCAAAGTCAATACACCATGACTGAGAGGGCGTGGCCAACCAATTTCCATGGAAATGAGATGTGCCAATGTTAATACAACTGAATACCAAATATCATTGACCTACAACTAGTGATTCCCCATATACTGACCTAATCACAAACACTAATACATTGTTGACAATGCTGTCGGCAACGCCGGAAACAGAAGATGACTGGATAAAGTGAGGAAATGGGAATCTTTAGACAGGATAGCTACAAGAATTCCCTAAGTGACTAAAGAGCCATTTTACCTGTACAAATTCAGTTATCTCTTCTTTTAATACTTTTCCCCCGTAAAAGCATTTGCAATTTAATATAGATTTTCATCCTTTTTTTGTTAACAGAATGCATAGCAACAAATTGAAGTGGAAAAGACTTGACTTCAGACTTAACTAAGGTTTTTAAATGAGAAATGTGAAAGCAAATATTAAGATTTCTTCGACTCCTTATTGCCTGATGACTACACTCACTCTGAGGTTATTGTATGTTTTTCTGTGTTGGAATGCTGTCTCATTGACATATATGGAAACTTTTGAAGTCCAATGGGCAGTGTTTGGAGACTTCCATGATCTCTCCACATGGAAGTTACATTGCAATAAATCTTTAAGAGGTCTGTCGGTGACCTATTGCTAGGGGAATTTCTGCCCCACACAAAATATCCTTGTTTTCAAGTACCAGTTGAAATTTCCTGTCCTTTATCAAAGTCCAACCACTTTGCATAACTTATGTTATAGATACAATATTAAGTAGGCCTCGTCATGAATATAGATAAACTGTTTGTTCCTCGATTTAAAGTCATCCACATTGGTCCTTTTAGCAAGGTCAGCTATGAAAGTACGTAGGGTAATTTTTTGGGAAACCACAGTTGTTGCTACTTATAAAAATAAGGAGATGAGGTATGATTGCCAATGATACAACTATCCACCAAAGTTCAAATACTGTAAATTCAGAAATTATTGCGTGCATTTATTATTGCGATTTTGTCATTTTAAACTTAAATGCGATTTTAATTTTTGCGATATTGAGAAAAATCCTGTTTATATCATATAAAATATTTCAAAATGCGATTTAAATTATCGCGATTATAATCCTGTCGCATTTTTCGCAATAATAAAAACATCGCAATAATTTCTGAATTTACAGTAAAGTGGATGTAAGCAATTATAGGCAAAAATACAGCCTTCAACAATGAGAAAAACCAATAACGTATAGTCGGCTATAAAAGGCCCTGTCATGAACATTTATTACTTGTATCTACCACAACTATCTAGACAACTACCTATTGTACATGAATTTTCCTTCATTAGGTCTTCCATAAATAACTCACTTATCTTTTTGTAGTGTGGGTGTGCTGCAACTTTCTGTTCTCCATTCATAAAATCTCAGTTAGGCAGAACTACTGGGGTTCTAATAATTAAACTTGGTTGTTCATTTAAATGTGTGCGTTGAAACATTCAGAAACTATCAAAACATATCGGCATTGTGTATCTTTTTGTTTTATTTTCGTAAAATAATTTTTGCGAGTTTATCAATTTTGATGTTTACATTTTCTCTCATTCATTATTGAAGTTGAATAAATATAAAAAAAAAAAAAATGCCAAAAAAAATTGTAGAAATCATTGAAGGACAATAACTCCAATAATTTTTATGGATTTAAAGCAGCATATGCCGACTAGTCAATTATTTGGAATTACCGACTTTGTTTTATTTTTAGTCATGGCAGAAGTGTGTGCAGGTTAAAAAAAAGTATGTATTGGTAAGTTGTCTTTTTAACATTTATCCTTTTGCTGAATGCTGTAAAGTATCTATATGAATTGGTTTTAAGGTGAAATGTTTCACTTTTGGATAAGACCAAAACTAATATTGGGATATTGCATGCATGTTTGTTGATATTATGCATTTTGTCAAATGTAAATCTATAAAAGGCCAAATGTACCTAATGTAAACAGAATGATACCCTGTACCTTATTAATGTTTGTTTTAATGGCTGATGAAGTGAAAAGAATTTATTTACATTTGAAATGTAAAATAAATATAGATGTGTGTGTGTGTAAGCAGAATAACTATATATTGGTTGTGACTAAAAGTACCCTTTTGAACTAGTATTGGTAAGTCTATAGCATTATGTGATAAAGCTCTGAAATGAACTCGTCAAAGAAAAATTAACAATGTGAATAAGTTGGCCAAAAAGTTAATTTTATATCGATGATGCCTGGGGAATAAAACAGGATTATATAGTCATTAAA